GATACCGCGTGATGTTGGTTATCACTACACCGAGAACTCTGGATCTCCTATGCCGTCATTATGCTAAGATCCAACAGTTATTGAAGGTTCGCCTAGCGCATCGCCATTGTAAGTTTATCTTAACTTTCGCAGCGTTTGTGGATTCCTACCATAGGGCTTGACATGATGCCAAAGGCTCCAATTCCCATTTTGTACGAGTTGCGTTTGTTGTGATCATTATGCTGATTACTATCAGGTACTCAGAATTGCTTTATTTGAGTCAACATCAGTTTCAACATTATCAGGTACCGATCCTCCCCAGGGGTAACTGAACATCATTTTCGGAAGATTCTCCATCCCGCCACACCGTTGTGCCGTTGGATCTTAAAAATTGAACCAACCGCTTTTCTTCCTGAACATGCATGAGCTGAAACGCTTCAAGCCACCCCACTGAAACTGATTCTAGAAATCTTCTTATTCTCCAGCAATCCACTCTCCAGCTTAACAGCTGATGCAATGGCTTGAGGTGATTAATCTATAGAGCTATCCGCTTGTTCATATCAACGAGCTGCTTACCCCAAGAGTCACTAGCACAAAAGCATTATGGACGACTCATGGATCGGCCCCTATACCCACGCCTTTAATGCCATATGTATTGCGCGTCAAAGCAACGTCCCTCGCTGGGACGCTGCGACCAGCGGGCTGCGGAAGAAGGACCGCAATTACAACTACCACAGCTAAATACGAACTTCCTCACCGCTTGGCCAACCGGAGTGCACTCGTTATTCAATTGCCATGGAGCTAATAGTGCCAGGGATGCTCAGCACTTCGCCGATTGCCATCCGCTCCGTCCCGATTCAAACTTGATAAAAGTTCGTTGTTATATCAAGGTCCAGGGCTCATGTACTATTAGTATTATTCCAACGTTCGTCCTGCATTAGCGCTAATGATACGATTATTCAACTTTACTTAACGGCAACATAGCCGATTGCGGTATAAAATCATGACATGAGCGGATAACGGGAGCTACCAGCGCCTTGGTGGCTTGCTAATTACCGTCAAGGAGCACACTTCAGGGTTCGATGGGATGGCCCGTACATGATTGCTGCAATCCGGTTCGACCGGTAGGTGCTTGACATGTTTAGCACGTCAGAGAATGTCTTATACACACATGAAGAAGGCTGGGGTTCTCAATGTTCGTTGAACCCCTGCATGTCATTAGATACTCTTCAGGGCGCGTGAAGGAAGTGTTGACGTCTGGCTGGCAACAAGGATTCCCATGTGATGAACAAGTACGACTTTCCGGAACCCGAGGAACCGGAGACGTGATGCCGCATCAGCTCATCTGAGATCTATGGTTACATTCGTCCGAGTGCACCAACTGTTATTTCGAATAGACACGATATTAACCACCAAGGAACAGGAGTGCCTTTCATGACGGTTTCCAGCCATAGTTGCTCGTCCACATGATCACAAACCAAAGATTACAGCTTCTTTCCAAGGCCGGGCATGGGTTTCTAAAACTACAAAAGTATTGTTTATACATGGAGGTTGGTTGAGCGCCCCGCTCACCACCCTTTTCATCATGATCACAGCAACATGCTCGATCCAAAGTCGTGAAATGCCAGCTCTTTGCAAAATTTGCTTATCGCTTGACCCAGGCGGGCATCTTGCGTGCCTTGACATGGCCGTGCTTCTTCCTCTCCACTGTCCTTGGGTCTCTGGTGATACAGCCAGCTGTAAATACGAGCATTAGTCATTGCAACGAAATCAATCGCGACGGTGATTATCAAGCACGTACCTTTTCGAAGAGCGGTCTTGAGCGCTGGCTCGTGAACGATCAGAGCCTTGGCAACCGCCAACGTAAGAGCCTCGGCCTGACCGGTTGTTCCACCACCTTCCACCAATGCCCAGACATTGTACTTGTCTAATCTCTCAGTGGCCTGAAGAGCCCAGACCGCACTCTCACGATCATGAACACGACCGAAAGCTTGGCTGAGGGTCTTGCCATTGATCAGCACTTCTCCTGTACCCTCCACAACCCAAGCCCGGGCAGTAGATTCTTTTCGCTTGCCGACACCGACAGCTCGTCCAAACTTGTCGACTGTCACCTCGTGAGGTACGTTCATGAATGGGTTGATGTCTCGCTTGAAATCCTCAAGAGCAACCCGGACTTCCTCAGGGAAGAGTGATGTCTCAATCTGGTTCAGCCGCTTGGCAACTCGAATGACCTTGGCGTAGTGAGAGGCCTTGATTGGTTCACCAAGTTTCGATCGCATTTCGTCGAGCTTTACCCAAGCTGTTGGAGGGGCAGCGCTTGGGGGTAGTGTCGGAAGAGTGTGGTATTTGGTGAGAAGACGAGCGATTCGGAGGTACATCTCATTGAATTGAGGTTCCCGAGAGAAGTACGAAGCCGAGACGGGAACGGCTCTCGCATGCTGGACATCCTGGAATGGCAGAGAAATCTTGGAACTCGAATCTATCACGGCGAAAGGATCGGGCTTGGGCTCGACGATCGTTGAGGATGTTTCACTGGCGATGCTTCGCACACCGAGGGGAAAAGTCGCTCTTTGCAAGGCGGGCTGAGGCCATGGTGCTCGGAAAAGTTGGCCTTGACATCTCAGCTGCCGTAGGCTATGTGTAAATGTCGACATGATGGCCAATTCGGAGGATGGCCCCGTCGGTATCGTATCGGACCACGAGGTTCACTGACGGTCCAAAAAACTTGACGGGAATTCAAGGTCCATCACGGGCTAGCTGAGTCGGTGAGGTCACGTGGAGAGGATGGATGTTCATAGACTTATCTGTACGCCACAGATTTCACCCGCCACACTGCATCACAGCCACGCCTTTCGCAGCTTGTTGCTCGTTGCTCGGGCAGTAAGGCAGGACCCCACTAGCGCGGGGCAAGCAATTTGACACACTTATTAGAAAAAAACTTCCCCTCCTCTTTTTTCTCCTCCTCATTCCTCCTTCGTCTCTTTGTCTGTCAACTTGTTCGTTCTCAGCTGCCTCAGCAAAGCAATCAAGATGGCTTTCGGAACTCTCTTCACCCGCGAGGTACATACTCTCGAGCATTGAAATTGAATCTGAATTTGCTGCAAGTTCAAACAAAGAGCGTCGTTACTGACTGGTCTTGGTTCTTCCAGAACAACTGCCGTTCTACCGCCATCCGCGCGGTCGCTAAGGCCAACGACATCGAGCTCAACATCGTTGAGGCCGAGAAGGGCAACGCTACCGTTGAGCACCTCAAGGCTAACGGTCTCGGCAAGATTCCTGCCTTCATTGGCGAGGATGGCTTCGCTCTCTCCGAGTGCATTGCCATTGCCATCTACAGTAAGTAAAGCTGTGCGCGATGCGTGCCTAATCTGGCACCACTTTTCTTTCTTCTTACCCCTCCCTTGCGAGTGATGACCTAGCATTATTATACAGTTATCCCTGTCTGAAATGTCTTTTTCAAGAGTTATTGTGTGGATATCGTCTAACTTCTGACCCTGCAACCTAATTTATCTTTGTCTATGTTGTCAGCTTTGTCGGGATCTTTGCTAACCCCGCTATAGTCACCTCCCAGAACGAGAAGACCACTCTTCTCGGCAAGACCAAGCAGGAGTATGTTGATGTCAACGCCCCTTGAGAAGTTCTTTCGCTAACCAGCCAAAGCTATGCTTCTATCCTGAAGTGGATGTCCTTCTTCAACTCCGAGATCCTTCCCAGCCTCATCGCTTGGTTCGGTCCCCTCAAGGGCGACGCTCCCTACAACAAGAAGAACGTCGATGATGCCTCCAAGGCTTCCCTGAAGGCTTTCTCCGTTGTCGAGGAGCACCTCATCCGCAACACCTTCCTTGTTGGCGAGCGCATCACCCTTGCCGACCTCTTCGCTGCTGGCATCGCCGTCCGTGGCTTCCAGTACTTCTTCGACAAGCAGTGGCGTGAGGAGAACCCCGCCGTCACTCGATGGTTCGAGACTGTCCGCGCTCAGCCCATCTTCGCTGAGGTTGCCGAGAAGGTTGAGCTCCTCGAGACTCCCGCTCTTACCAACACTCCCCCCAAGAAGCCTGAGCAGCCCAAGAAGGAGCCCAAGAAGGAGGCTAAGAAGGAAGCTGCCCCTGCCGCTGAGGCTGCTCCCGCTGCTGATGAGGCTCCTGCTGCCCCCAAGGCCAAGCACCCTCTTGAGGCTCTCGGCCGCCCCTCTTTCCCTCTCGATGAGTGGAAGCGCCAGTACTCCAACATCAAGGACCACAACGAGGCCATGAAGTACTTCTGGGAGAACCTGAACTTCGAGGAGTACTCCATCTGGAAGGTTGACTACAAGTACAACGAGGAGCTTACCCTCACCTTCATGTCCAACAACCTGATCGGTGGCTTCAACAACCGTCTTGAGGGTTCCCGCAAGTACATCTTCGGATGTGCTGCCGTCTACGGCGAGAACAACGACTCCGTCATCCAGGGTGCTTTCGTCATCCGAGGCCAGGAGCACGTTCCCGCCTTCGATGTCGCCCCCGATTGGGAGAGCTACAACTTCGAGAAGCTCGACCCCTCCAACCCCGAGCACCGACAGTTCGTCGAGGATGCCTGGGGCTGGGAGAAGCCCATCACCGTCAACGGCAAGGAGTACAAGCTTGCCGACGGCAAGGTCTTCAAATAAACAAATCAAAAAACGGAAAAAGAAAACAAGAGCGATGATGATAATGGCTTATGGTTAAATGGTTGGGAGGGTAAATGAGTTTATGATATTTTATGCCTCATGAAGGCCCTGCCGGCTGGCAATTCCCTATGTAGTACCCAAAAGAACGAAGAGCTGTCTCTTACTCATAGACAATTGAAAGGATTTTTTTTTGAGACCAAGTTTTATGTGTCGCCTTTCGCAATGACCATTTATGTTCTATCATCAACACGCTATGAAGTTGTATCTCTTGAGGCCTCGGGCCTCGGGTATCTCTAAATGAATCTAAACCGTCTATGATATCCTGTGATTCATCTTATTCCTGATACTTCCCAAGTCGGCGCATGGTCAAACCTGACTAGGCTGCATGCTCTGGCAAGACATAGACTGGATCAAGCTTGAAAGGGGACTGTCTTACAAAGCGGCTGATATCCGCCTGGTAGGCAAGTTCATTCAGGTAATCGTGAACCTGAGGCAAGACATTGGGCATCTCAGTGGACAGACCGGAGAACTCAGGAAGTGTAAGCGTGTTGAATGGTTCACTCCGGCCCTTCTCTAACGAGTCATCAACCAAGATAGTGTTGCTCTGATTCCAAAGGCCTCCCTTATGAGCCTGGGGATGAGCAGCCCTCACCCGCGGATTAGTCCATACGGTCGTGAGGCGTTTGTAGACTTGCACTTTTGCGTTGTAATCACCCTCCGATAGACCGAAAGAATCACGACCCCAGACGACAAGAACCCGCTCGCGCTGTTCAGGTGTTAGGAGCTGTTCAACCATTTTGTTAACGTTGTCAGGGCGGGCTGAGGACCAAATCGCAACATGGAAAGCGTCGAGGCAGTATTTCATGAAGGTCTTTGCATGAGGTCGCTCGACAAAGTCGAAGGGCCGGCGCTTGTTGGGTCGATAGAGGAGAGTACCATTGAGATCCATTATGATGAGAATGCGACGCGGTTGAGGGAGTCTTTCGGGGCTGAGGTTCGCTTGGGCCATGTATTCGGGCGTAGGGTTGGGAACACCTCCAGAGGCTTTGCTTGGGATCTTGTGGGGTGAAGAAGAGCGACGTTGAACTGGAGGGGCCTGGATCATTGCCCTGGGACCTTTGGGGATTCTAAGAGGAGTTAGTGACATGATATGGAAAGATTCTATGCTATGAGTTTAAGAGGCTCTCGATGCATCCTCAGGTGATTTCAATCCTATTCCAGACCGAAATCATAACTGAGGACTATACATTTCCAAGTCCTTCAAAGCGCTGGAATACCCCGAGGAGCCTTACGAGCATATGATATAGATCTTCTGAACGTACTTTGCATCTGCAGCAGCTTTATTCTTCTTCTTGGGGCCTTTGGGCGCATTCTTGGGCGCACCACCCTGTCTCGGCTGCGCCAAAGTGAGGCCTGGTATTTTCATCGGCCTGGATGACGGCCCATTCGGCACGACGTGTTCTTTATATCCTGTCATGGCTGAAGCTGGGAGAAGAAAAGAAGCATCCTGTGTTGGTGAAGTCTTTGGTGCTGTCGAGTTGAATGGCAGTGGAGAAGTAAAGCTAAAGTCAAAGAATTTAGGAGTACGGGATGTACCAAAGAATACAATATTACGGTTCTTCACCAAACGGCGAACGGTGCCCAGCATGGGGAAAGGAGGAAGAGAGGCGCATTAACCAAAGAAGAATACGATTTGCGATACAAACATTTGGCTTTTCTTAACTTTAGCGGCCGAAATCGCGGGGCAGCAGGGGGTGGGCCTAGACCCATTTATGCAAATCATTAAATGGAGGGACCATAACAGCACTTTTAGACTGTTCATGTACTGTGTCACTGCGCTATAAGAGACTGCTTGAGACTGCAGGGCCTAGTAGACTCTATTATGTAGCGACAATAATACTCTATCTTCTAAAAAGTCTTGATCTTGAAGTACAGGTTTTGACCAGTACAGCAGTATGTTCAATGCTGATATTCAGCTACCGGGGCGCTAAGATAAGACTACTTCGTGGGGCTTATCAAAGCTGGAAAATAAAAAAGTTCCCAGCGCCACTATGATCAAACATTGAAGAGCAGTTATTCAATTACATACAGCAGCACAACATGGCTTCCAAGCGCAAAACGTCATCGTCATTTGGACTGGAGAGAAGAGTGCGACCGAGGAGAGAGGATGAGTGGGTAGAAGAGCCAGAGAGTCAAAGTTCCTCAATTGAGGACGATAATGATGAGGTGGAGGAGGAGGGTATTCGGGGCGCATCTGATGATGATGACGATGAGGAAAAGGAAGATCAAGAATCCGAAGAAGGGTCGGAAGATGAATCCGAGGTAATTCCATTACGTCTCTCCTCGAAAACACAATGCTGACTATACTACAGCCAGAGCAAGATACGCCAAAAATAGACCTCTCATTAGTCTCATTCGGAGCTCTCGCAAAAGCACAAGCATCATTGCCATCTGCTGGCCGCAAATCAAAATCGAAGAAATCTACCGATGAAGACGCCCCTAAAACAGAAACACCCGCGCCCAGGAAATCCACCAAATCAAAGGACGACCCTAAGCCCAAACGATCTTCCAAACACGCCCCGCAAGAACAAACCTCCAAGAAGCCCGTATCTCGCCGCCGTGAGATCCTCCCAGACAACCGGCGCCAGTATCGCGATCCTCGTTTCGACCCCCTAGTAGGCCGCGTCGACGAAGAGAAAGCTAGCAAAGCCTACGCCTTCCTAGACGAATACCGAGACAAGGAGATGGCCGACCTTCGCGCACAGATCAAGAAGACCAAAGACTCCTACGAGAAGGACAATCTAAAACGCCAACTCCAATCCATGGAATCTCGCAAGAAGGCCAACATGCGAAGACAGGAGGAAGAGAGGTTGCTGAAGGAGCATCGCCAGAAGGAGAAGGAGCTTGTGGCGCAGGGCAAGACGCCGTTCTACCTGAAGAAGAGCGAGCAGAAGAAGCAGCTGCTTGTGAACAGATATGAGGGCATGAGTAAGGGACAGGTAGATAGGGCGATTGAGAGGAAGAGGAAGAAGGTTGCTGGTAAGGAGAAGAAGGAGTTGGACTTTTTGCAACGGGGATCTCGACCACGAGGATAGTCGAGTTCAAGATCAGATTTTTACAGGAGATGGGAGATCAGTTAAGAGGTTGGACTTGTGCGAGTTGCATCCTGGTAGATGTCATTCGATGATCTCCAAGAGCCGTTCGCACTATCGTTTTGGCTCCATTTGCCCGCCTACGCATACATCAGACATAGCGAAATTGCATTTCAGAACGATCATGTTGGTCTATACACGCCACTCGTGACCCAGCTCAGCCCACCATTGCTTTCCAGTGTCTCTCTCCCCAACGATTCAACCTTAGTCACATTCAGCAAAAAGTTACAGAAACAGCAAAAGAGAAAACATACAACAGCGGGGATTCGCTGGTCGTCACCGACCCAACTACTAATCCGCCCCTTATCAGCTTATCTATGGGAGAGCGGACGGGATCCCGAGTTCTCTGATAGGTATGGTCGTACGTGATTGTCATGGCTGCAGCTTCAACTTATAACGAGAATCTGATGAAGCTATCGGTAAACCATACGACCATTCTAGCGGGACAAACCAGAAGGACCACCATCGTGTAAAGGAATAGTATATATTTGTGAACGAAATGTCTGAGACAATAGAAGTTTACCGACTAGGTAAAAGATGCATAAGTATAGGTCGAAACACTAAAGAAATGTACGACAGTGTACAGTCGTGAGGTGCCACCAATGCAACTGACAAGTGGCCACCTGTGTGAACTGGGATTCCGCTCCACTACGTACCTTGATTCTTGATTTTCGCAATATTTGTACTCACGAAGGACAACCCAAGACATCACAGGCACACAAACTGATGTAGGGTAACGCAGCCACAACGTCAATTAACGGGTAACTATGGGTCTGCCGTTAAGATCCGTGATTGGCCCGATTGTCGTGCACATCATCCAAACGCATGTAAGTGCGTCGTACAGATTGTAATCATGGCTAATTACTGAACGGAAGTTATTAACTGTCTTGATCGAAACTGGGATATTGTCTATTTCCGGGTGGTTTTTTCTCTTGATAATAAACAAACACTTTGCTCATGCCAAATCATCTCGCTTTCGTCTCGAAATAACACACATGTACCCAGGTATCTGATCAAATGTACATTCCACAAGGAATCAGGTGATAATCCCCTCCAACCACTCCAAAATAGTAATCAATACATACGCCTTTACTCACAATGCATTCCAAGCCTCATAGTCATTGCTCTGATATTGAATAGCCTGCATTTGCCAGGAGATTATTCCTCGTATTCTTCCTCGGGCAATATCACTACCTCATCCAGTCCGCAAATTTCCTACATCTTGTTAGCTTCCAGTCAAGCAGATGGCGGCCGAGAGGGAAATTCTTACCTTTCGCTTCCGTTTAAAATCTGTATAGAAAGAGTTCCATATTATCCTCGCCGCGCAGTCCTCTGCGCCATCCGCCAAAATCGTGCAGTTGGGTTGTGATTGGAGGCGAAGTTCCTCATCCGTTTGTATCCATGGCTTGGAAACCGGCCAGTCCGAAAAATGGACGAGTTTGGCTTCGTTGTAGACAGCGGCGGGATCCCAAGGCTCAGTGTCAGAGCCGAGATACCTCTTGTGATCGTCTGCACGGAACTCGCCCGTTAACAAATCATAGGGACGATGCGGGAGGACAAGAGCACTCTCGCGATACAGGTAGTTCACAATCTCCATATCAAAGTCGTTCTCAGAGGCAGAGTCCACCTTGGCCATAATGCGAGCAAATTCCTTTTCTGAAGGTTGGAGAAGTATTACCTGAGATGAGAGGATCTCCTTCTCAGGAAACAGCCAGTAAGCTCTTGGCATGGCTACTGGTGCTGGGGGCGAAAGGAATAGTTCATCCATCTCTTGCAAGAGTGTGGAATCGGAATCGATAGAAAGCACGCGGCTGTATTGAGTCTGATTGAGAGCGAGGAGCTTTGTATATGAATCAGCCCAGGTATCTGAAGACGACACCAGTTAGCCTGATTCTTGGACAAGAACTATATCCAAAAGAACTGATGAGGGTGTCGTTTACCATCTTTATTGTCCTTGTGCTGAACTGTAATGGGAACGAGCTTGACTCGATATTCATCGCGAGCTTTGACGAGCAATTGGGTATCCACAGAACTACTGTTATTTGCCTCGAACATGTGAGAAGGATACATCATCACTCGATCGGCACGACTGGAAAAACGGTGCAATGACTCAAAGAGCATGACCGAGTTACAGAGATAGTCGCTGTTGGTGACATATTGCGTGTAGGCGAAGCGCGACCAATCGACCTCTATGGAGCCACGGTATTTCAAGGGCTCCTGGTTGAGAAATCCATTAATTGAGAAGAAGTAGAACAAAAAGACGACAACAATGACACCCGCAGCCCATCGATATCGTTTTGGCGCTATGAAGCTCGGCGGGAATGAAGGTGTTAGTTCAGATAGTAGTTTTGCCATTTGTTCCGTGGTTCGCAAGATCTGAGTTGTAGAAGCTGATTTCGAGGCATTCAGCGAGCGGATTTTAATGACTGAGCGATTGAATTGCGGAAATAGTGAGCGAGTGGTGAGTGCGATGAATGTACCTAGATAAAGAGAATGGTCAAGGAGCCTGTCCTTATGTTATACAGTATTATCAGGCAGACAGAAGCTGAAGTCTAGGTAATGAACGCTTCAAAAGAAGATGGAGAAAGAAAGAACATGAAGAAGGAAGATAGAATGAGAGTGAAATTCAGAAGCCAAACACAACTGCCGTCCAACAGAAGGGATGAAATGAATACTGCGGCGTGGCACTTAATTAAGCAAAGACCCTGCAAAGATACTTTTGGACCAGGCGCTTAGATAGGTATGTATCAACCCTGCATGATTTGCGATACCTACTTGAACTAGCCTAGTCGCGACAAGAGATAATATACGATTCGCCAATCGGAGGAAGCTCTTGGTCCCCTAGTCGTTGTTTTCATCTGCCGTGTTCCGACGATCAAGTTGTCCTAATATTGCCCATTCAAACATTATCTCTATATCTAAAGTATAAGCTTGACTTATAAAGGTACTTTAGCTTAAGATATATGGACATGGCTTAAGTTTCTAATAATATGGTTTATTTGTTGTCTCAGATGAGGACTACGAGTTTGTGGGCTTATCACATGTTTGCTTTTCTGTCTAAGCGCTGTCGTAAAAGACACTGCATTGTCATTCACACTGACATGATACTTTCTGAGCATACAGTATTGTTCATCAGCTGATCTTTGTGCACGTCTTAGGGATCTTTTTTTATTATTGCTGGTAATGCAGAAAGCTAACTAGGACATGTCAACCTTTCTATTTCATCTACAATGAGCCTTTCAGTGGTAAAGACTCACTTTGCATCCTTGCATACATATCGATCTTATGTATGCTAATTATGCTGTTGCAAGCTTAATTGAGGACGTCAAGCAAGTAAATGCTTTTCGCCAAGTCATGCCATAGCTCGTCACACATGAACCAAAGCATATGTTGTGTTCCGGTAGTGTCACAACCCTGAAGTCAGCAAATTTCCTACCAACCTCTCATACTTATTCGATGTACTGCAAACCTGATAGAATCCTGTGCTTCCTACTGTACTGATAATAGCGACTCATCACGACTGTGCAGAGCCGCCAGCCTACTGCAACGCTAACACAGGTTGCAATGACACAGTAATCCCTAGTGAAAGCAAATGGAATATGAGGGATACTTGTGATCAGTCCCTCCCGAGTTACGCCGTGCCTCGTGCTCCCTTCCACAGTCTGGCGTGTGTTGTGTTGTGTAAATTGGAAGTTGAACATGACTCTTTTGCAAACTTAGTTATCATGACTCCCTTTCAAGTTGAGCCTCAACTAGGCACACATGCTGTTTGTCTTACCATGGCCTTTTGTTTGCAATAGTCAATGATCGTTCTGCTGCCACTACGAACCAAAGCGTGACCATGTATAAAACACTGCAGGATACCACTTAACCTCTCCACGGTCTACTCACCCCCTGTTCAAACTTCTTATTAGCAGCTTTGTTTCCCCCTCTCCATGCCCAGCATGACAACATCTTCTCCCCCACCTCTGAGTGAACACCCCAGACCTACCAAAGATGAAGGCGAGGGCAGGACCAGACAGTTTTTTGACGAGGTCGTTAGACGTGGCGTCCTTTTCAATGCCGAAATACCCAAACATCCAGAAGCCCAGATCATTGTGCCACGCCAAGTCAGCTTCTCCTCCATGCCAGAGTCTGGCCTCACAGACGAACAACTTATCCATGAATTTACATCTATCATCGCGGGGAGTACTAAATCGAGTTCTCCAAACTTTTTGGTATCTTCTGATGCTACTATGTGCCATGCTGCAATGGGGGCAGCCCTCTTGATACCACTTCTGAACCAAAACATGGCGAACCCAGAGACTTGTCCACCAAAAGCGACCTTTGTTGAGATGGAAGTCATACACTGGCTACGTGAAGCGCTTGGATATCCTGTGCTTGGAGCTTACACCAAAGCTATGGATGTCGGCGGAATCTTTACGCCTGGCGGATGTCTCTCAAATACTGTTGCGCTTTTGGCTGCGAGAGAAAAGCGCTTCCCCGGATCACGCTTGAATGGTATCCCGGTGCTGCCGAGCAAGATCCGTGTGTTGGTACCAGATATCGCAGAGAATCACTCGATACGCTCAGCCATTGCGATGATGTCCCTCGGAGAAGAGAATATCACACCCGTTCCCGTCGATGCTGAGTTTCATATGGATCAAGAAGCTTTAAAACGGATCATCGACCAAGAAGAGAATCTGGGGAACACTATCATGGCCTGTGTTGCATATGCAGGTGATCCAACGTACTTGAGGATCGACGATTTACATGGTCTATCGCAGATCCTCAAAGAGAAAGATATCTGGTTCCACGTTGACGCTTGTCACGGCAGCCAACTTGCCTTTTCAGAACGACATCGCTATAAGCTGCGAGGCATTGAAAAAGCAGACTCAATAACGGTTGACCCGCAACAAGCAATGCTAATTCCCTACGACTGCTCCTTGGTCCTATTTCGTGAGCCCAGTACCCATGCCTCCCTGTCGACCGACCTAGACTCAATCTCCAACATGCAGTGGTCGTTTGGGACAACTGGCCCTTTCGCTGGGTCTAGAGCCTTTAATTCATTGAAGATTTGGTCCTCGATCAAAAGCTATGGAAAGAACAGCATGGGACGGATGATTGATGACAGACTAGAACTCACCAGCGCGATCCACTTGGAGGTTGAACGCCGACCAAACCTCATACTTTTGGCCGGAACCGACATCAACTCCTGCATGTTTATATATGTCCCCGCGAGTGTGCAGCGATACTGTCTTGAACGACACATTTGTCTCTCAGACGCAGACTTGGAGAAAGTCAACCAGCTGAATCTCCACATCCAAGAGGTAATCCATCGAGAACGTGTCTACTATATCTATGGGTTTCCTTTGCAACACTGCCCGCATGGCCGCTTCATCCAGCCCGGAAAGACGGTCTTTGTCCTACGTACCTTGAATGGGAACCCTCAATCAACCATGGGTAATGTGAGAGGCTTGCTGGACAGAATCGAAAACTTGGGACGGTTTCTTCTCATAGATCGCCAGTACATATGTATGGGAGATACTGCTGGCTCGTCAACAAATCGTCTACAAAGAGCTGAACGAAAGCTCATTCAAAGGCTGTATGATTTATTCGACAACAATGACTTCGTAGCCGTTGTCTACGGCTCTTCCTCGCTTCAAAATAATGCTATACTGTCGAACATCGATCTTATGATATTTGCTCACAGCGCTGAGTCCTCGAAAATAAAAAAGGTAGTATCAATTTTCCTCTCTGTGATGGAAGCAGAAGGGATCCTAATCGACTTTGAGATTCCCCTTCACCGAAGACTCCTCGTGACCTTCGAATTTGCTAGCCAAGCTGCAGAGTCTGGGCCTCCTTTGGACGAAACGGGACATGTTTCAAGCATCTCTGATACGCCAGAGTACCTGTCATCTGATGAGATGTTGCGACGATTGGCATTCAACGTGCTTACAACTCCGAATAAGATCATCGCAGCCACGACCAGTGGTACTAATAGACTCAAGAGTTTAGAGACGACGGTAGCCAGAAAGTTGGTGACCAGGATTCAACATCTCGGAGGATCCAAAGTTAGTACGGCGGATGAGTTTGTGGATCTCATAATGTCAGATGGTGGTCGGGGGGAGGGAAAACATCTTGGCTATAAGCCACGAGGGGATGTCTTGAAGAAGCTTCGTAAGATCTTTCAGGATGTACAGAACACTCCGCTTGAGTGAATCTGACATCGTACGTGTTAGTGTTAGTATCGGAAATGTCTTGATGGACCAAAGAACCATTTGGCTATTCATTTTGTCTTCATATCGTGAACAATTCCCGAGGAGACTGACGGCTGTCCAGCTCTAGCCAAGAGTGTCCATTAGGCGCCGTGTAAATACCTCTCCACTGGACCACTGAAATCCACATCAGCAAGAAAAAAGAAATGATGTATTCGCAGGTCTTTGCATTGGGCTGGGGTTTGACCAGTTCACGAACATTATACACCTCCGTTAGCTCAATCTTGCTGCCCTGCTGTGCTGTCATCAGGAGTGTTATGAGCAAAGAGCCAAGTTGTTCAATAGCGTTGTTAAGAAGGCGATTTCCAGGCAAAAGTGATATGCCACTTGGGAGGGACTTGAGGCTTTGGAGAATGGTAGGTTTTCTTATGCCTGGGAAACCATTCAGTACACTAATCTTGCCAGAGTAACTTTGTCCAAAATATTCGGAGACATGAGCGTGATGACTTTGTGGACTTGCCATAACCACGAGGGATGTCTTAGCAGAGGTTTCTGGGTGACTTGAAGGTGATAGAACCAGTCACGCAGGATGAGCTTTTGATGTGACTCATTGGTCATATTGTGCATCAACCAAAGTTTACCCATGACGGTGTTCCTTCTGACAGCTCTCAGTTAACTTTTCATCATGGTTTTAATTCACACAAACTCCTTTGCCTGATACTCTTACATTGATTTCTACTCACTTCCTACCTAGTTTATATACAACACTCTGAACCACTTCGACGTTATGCTCCTCCGTGTTTCCAATAATTGCACATCCAACGACGCATTGATTTCATACTAAGCATCCGGGATGTGGACATCAGTCTAATGTCAGACTTGGTTTCCCATATGACCAAACCCCTTTAGGCAAATAATAGTAAACCCAAGAAAAACAGAACGGGAGGGGAAAACACGGCGTTACATGTCGTCGATCACTCGTCGACCCCACGCTTTTCTCCTGTCTGAGGTCCCTGTGACAGGCTTTCCTGACCCTTCTGACCGGCACGGAGTTGCTCAATTGCCTTGTATCCCTTACCGAGAAGTTTCTTGAGATGATGTGGCTGAATCTGATCAAACTCCTCTACGACCTGATCCCTTCGTTTCTTCCATGCTTCCAACTTCACCCCCTGAGGTCGAGAGGTTTTGGTGACCACGAGTGGATAGGGGCTCGTGTCACGGCGGGTCTGAATACTGCAACCGACACCTGCCTTCTCAAGGACCTGCTGGACATGGGTACGCCGGGGCTTGTTCATCGGGTATTCTTCAGACATCTTTGTGTGGTGGCGAAGAAAGGCGCTGACACGCTCGCAATCGCCGCAGTCACAGGGAACGCCGGCGAGGGCCCAGGTCCAAGGCTCACGGGGCTCCGGTCCAAGAAAGTTGTCAAGAACACCCCGAGTGATAGCAGAGAAAAACTTCTTGTAGGTTGGTGTGCTCAAGGAAATGCCCTCGTTTTCGAGAAGGGGGATAGTGGAACGCAGAAAAGGAAGCCAGGTCAACTGGAAACTGGCCTTTGAAAGTCTGCCAACCTGCTTGGTGATCTTGGACATGAATTGACCTGAAACATTGTTCGACTTTGTGCTGGCCTTCAAAAGTCCCGAGAAGAAGTTTCCCATGTCATTGTGCGTGACTGCATTCCCCAGCCTAAGCTGAGCCCACATCTTGGAAGTCAGCCAAGGCGGGAGGTTCATCTTTTTTGACTGCTCTTGGATTGTTGTTGGATGCTGTAGTGAAGCAAAGTCCTGAGACTCGATCAATAAGCCTGCCATAGTTCGATAGAGATCCATGCCCTGTTGCCGAGGAAGTTTGCCCTCCTCAATCAGAGCCATCACTCGTGCCAAGGTCATGAAACGGAAGCCTGGGGCCAGAGGACAATCCTTGAAAAGAGGCACGACACTTCGTAATCTGTTAGCATAGTGGGAATAGACGAGAGAGGAGGGGCGGATGAATTAGCTTACAACTCTTTCAGGAAATCAACCTTGCTCTCGAAGTACAGCGCAAAACCGACCACAGCCAACGCGTCGTCTGCAACCACTTCAATAGGAACACCTCCATGACACAAATTCTTCAGTGTTTGACGGGTCCATTCCAAAATTGGCCCAGGCGTTGGAAGAGCGTCGGCGGGTAGGTCACTAGGAAGAGGGATAAAGTGAGATACGAGCTTGTGCTTGTGTGGCAACCCTTCCTCTGAAGCCATAGCAAGCGAGAGTCTTGCTTACATTAGTAAAGAAACAGTCATAGATGTGGTAGAACGTACCCTTTCTTGAGCTTGTTGAAATTGTCTAAAGTCTTGTCATCATCATCGGGTTCGATCACCCATTGTCTCAACCAGGTAAACAAATCAGATGGAAGGACCTTGTAGAATTTGGCCAGAATGTTCTCAGAAATTTGGTATCGCTCATGTTGTAGGGCAACTTTGACGACCTTTGACAAGACGGACTTATCCTTCATCAAGTCAGGGCGGGTTTCCAGCTTGGGCATTGCATTCTCAACAAGTTCGACCATTGTGCTGATCAGGTGATCTTGCACATCAGGCTGAGAGCACAAGTGCACAATATACTTGATCTGCATTTCTGGAGACGCATCGCAATGGTTATCGAGTTCGCTAAGTAAGCCAGCAACCGAGTCGTGAGGAGCAATAACGATGGTCTGTTCGTGATAGTCAGTGAGAGGTACACTTGAAACAAGCATCGTACTTACGCCTCGACGATACCAATGTGTTGCTGTTGTACCCTAATAGCATAGGTTAGCAATAAGCTATCATCTTGGATCTTGCCAAGTACGCACAGAGAAGCCACTGAATTCATACTCATTCTCAGACTTCACACCCTCGAAGGCACTTGGATCAAGAATACAATTCTCCGCGACGATTAGCTCATCAGCAACGACTTCACCTTGTAAGTCTCTAAGAGTCTTTAGTCGACAAACCGCTTCATCAACTGAATACAATGAAGGGTGATAACCTTTGAATGGGTCTCGGTAGGTGTCAAGAGTCCTGGACAAGGTGAATGGCAAGTGGCAGAAAGCCTGCATCTCTGGCTCTGTAAAGTCCACCATCCCAATCTCCTCTCTCTCAAGCAGTGCAAGATACATCGTAACCGGGAATCCCTCCAATGCTTTTTGAAGAGCCATGAACCGGGTCATGTCTGCTCCTTTCAGCGACTTTTGGGAAATGTTGGCTTGAGTATAGTCGTGATCTAGGACGTGGCATGCATATGGAGTTTTGCGATCCCTTTGCTCCCGCGCGAGCCATCCTTGAACACATTCACGGAGGGGCCGAAGTTTGGTTTCCGAGAAGGTATCAGATGTGTGCGGCGAGGATTGGCCAGTAGCGAGGTTATAGGTAAGAACCCAGCGATAGCCTGACTTGACGGGAAGAACTTCGTGGTGAACATCTGAGTACCAAGCAGCACAAGAAGCTTGGCTTTTAGAAGATTCGTAGACAATCTTCTCGCCGCAGTGCTCCAGAACAACCTCTCCACCCTTGTGTTTCGATGGCAAAGTGACGACAAGGGTTCCAAACATGTCGGGGATTTTCTCCGTGCTGACGACAACGTTAGTTGGGCTGGCCATACGGAAAGGAAATATTGACATACTCGGCGTGTGCTTTGAACATGGCACCCTTTTCATAGAGAAGCATCTTGTAGAGCTCGGCGTGGACAGGCGTCTTGATGCCCATATTTTGAGCGACGATTTCACTCAGTTCCTGGAGGTAGTTGGACCATTCTTCTCCGCCGATGGTGAACTGCTCAGGATCGAGTTCCCAGGTTTTTCGGACAGAAGTGTCGACGATAGTGTCACTTCCTCTTCCAAAGGGCGCTTGTCGTGCCTGAGTGATAATCTTCACTACTTGGGCCTTCTTGAGGGGAAGTTTGATATCGCCAACACCTTGAACAGAGATGTTGAAATCCTCGGGAATCTCAATTTCTTGATCGAAGGCAACCTTTTCCACGGTCTTGATGTCTTTGATTGCCTTGAGAAGATCGGCTTTGAAGTCATCTGTAGTCGCCATCGTGCTTGAGTTGCTTGCAACGCTCTGCTTGTCTTCGTCATTGTCTGAGCCGGAGCCAGATTCTGTAGTAGGGCGATCGGGAGCCATATTTCATGAAACTTCACGATCAGAGATTTGAATGAAAGTAAGCCAAAGGTTGTGTTTGCTCCTATTCAGAGAGTTGTTACGCAAGAAGTAGAGTATCGGCCAATGCAGTCCGGTTATTCTTGGTGCTGTCACGGCGAATGTGAAAAGAAAACAGATCCAGAAAGAGGATGAGAGGTATGAAATAGTTTGTAATTAGTTTATCTGAGCTGTCATTATGTTTAAGCGGTCTTTGTTGACTTTTCATCCTTGCAGTGCGCCACACCGTAGAGCAAACGAGCCTTAAGGCGCCAGATGCAGGCACTTGCTGGCAGTGGCCGAACAAAGAACATATCGTACATGGGATGAGGAAAGGTCATAAAAAAAACAACGCTTTCTAAGTTTAGAACAGTTTTTAGCAAATCCAAAAACGTTGCTTGAACAGGTAAATACTCTTATAGCAATCGTTAGATGTAACAGGGTTTAATACTACCTACGGGCTCTTATAGTAATTCTCTAAAGAATTTCTCTAACTTGGCCTTTCCATCATCTTTGGCCAAGAAACCATTTTCATCCTTTGCACAATTCTTTTGCAAACACATGAACTGTTTAGAGCTGATATTTAGAGGCTTCTTTAAGTCGAGCATGGCGCTTATACCCGCCAGCTTGAGTCCGCATTCCGAACAGAAATCCCGCTCCTCTTTGTAAAATGCTCCGAGACAAAGCCCGTCCCTGCAAGAAAGTCAGCTTGGTGAGCACATGGTTGATTGTTGAGACAAGCTGGCCACTGACTCGTCGGCAACACAAAGATACTCCTGTGTCCCGAAAATCGACATCACGTATTCTACTGTTTCGTCCGGCCCTGGAAGACCTTCCGGAAGGTCTGATTCGTAGCACGCCCTCGAATAATTGAAAAAGTATTGCCTAAGAGAAGAGCGGCATGACGATGAACAGTATGCTGCTGCTGCTGCTGGGTCCTTCAAATAATGTCCCTTCTCTATCGAATCTCGACCGAGGAAGAAAGGGCAGTCAATGTCTGACGTAAGAGCCTGGCGACATTCTTCATCAATGGATTCGGGAATCGTGCTGTTCCATGGCTTGAGAGCGGTAGCTGAGTGAGTTGCGAGAGTGAAGACTATGGACGTGAAGATTGGGAATCGCATGGCTACGAGTAATCGAGGAATAAGGAGGGCAGTTGACATGTAAGAAGAGGGAATTATGTTGAGAACGAGATCTCTTATGTGAGGTCAATGCATTGTTGGTTGTTGGTCGGATGTCAATATTACTGGATCGATCCACTCTTCATTTAAATTCTATACCAACACTCCATGATGCTAACAACCAACAACCAAAACTCCATGCTCTCACAAACGCTATAACAAATCAGAAGGAATACGAAGTCGGCAGCCTAATCACCTCCTCCTCCTCCACCGCCGCCTCCTCCACCATCACCACCACTGCTTCCACCACTATCTCCTCCACTTCCTCCGCCAGAATCACTGCATCCTCCTCCGCTGCTGCTGCCTCCATGGTCTCCATGACCCCCATAACTATGACCGCCGCTGCCTGATCCATCTTCTACTCCTCCCCATCCCCAATGGCCTCTATCTCTGTGCCCATGGCCGTGACTGTTGCCAGCTGTGTCATCCGAGACTCCTCCATACACGTTTCCGACGGGATAGTTTCCACCATCAGTGGTAGTTGGGGCATGGTATCTTCCCCACCGAGGCCCAGCAGAGCCCGCCTTGTTTGCAGATGTTTTCTGTACATGTGCTGGAGCTGTATAAGCGCGCTTTGGTAGAGCTTCGTCAGGTGTTGGCTTTGACTTTTCAGTGTCTCTTGGCTTCTTCCGTCTTGGAAAATATTTGGTAAAAAGATCTTTAGGAGACATTGCGGTAGAATTCTAGTTATTGAGGGCCAAAATATTGTATGGAATTGAGCGTATGTTTGCCCTTTATATCTGACGAGAATCACTTACAAGACTGCCTCGGCTGTGTTGGTGCGAACTAAAATGGTGCCTGTGGTGCCACCATCTTCATCTTCAGCCAAGTCGGGCGTCTTACAGCCCACCTGACTCGGCCGAAACCGAACAGTCTTACGAGCTTCGAATATTCTTACTAAATGGAGACATAGCTTAAACAGAGCTTATGGTATTTTATTAATGCCTGAATGTTGTAAGTCGGCGGAGTTGAACATGCGATAGGATGAGACGAAGCTTGTCCTTGAAATTTATGTGATCCTAATCCACGAGCTTGACTATAAAAGAACTTGACGGAGTGTCTTCTATTCTAGGAGAAGGAGAGACACTCCGTCCGTTCTCCCAAAGTCAAGCTGGAGAGGGCTCTACATTTGAGACAATGAGCTTTATGGTCCACCGTAGAGCCGTTAGCAACAGCTGCCGCTCTCCACTTCTAACCGCCCAGCTGATATCGACTTCTTGCTCAGCCCCAGGCGCTTCAGTAAGCCAGACAAGAATGCCTGCTTTGGAAGAATGACGACACTTGCTATAGCTTTCTAGCGAGGCTGATTTTATGATTTGCGTAATGTGATGAGAATTGTCAGTGTGGCAGCATCGCCTTGCAAAGGTGTAATAAGACACACAAACTGCGATGCAAAGAACCTTAGTCTTGTACAACGCCTTTTATGACAAGACAAGAGCATGAGTCTGTAAGGCCCGCTTAGTACATTCTTGCCACTGTTATTTACTGCTGTCCATTCCTTACTATGAATGCACTTCGCTGGGGCATTGGCTGGCTTGCCGCCTTGAAATGTATTTGACGAATTACAGAAGGTGTTATCGGCATCTGTTTCCAAACAAAATCATGGGCTGTTATTGGAAAGCGCCTTACACAGCCGGACCTGCTGAAAAGGATACCTAGAATCTCTAGCTGAAAGACTTGTTCGCACTCTTCAACCTCACCTCAACACCCAAGTTTACACCTACAGCATAACAAAAATGAGCTCTTTACAAGTTCTTAACATATCCAGCACAATTTTCCGCTATTCTGGCCTTGTCGGAAATCTCATAGCTATCTCTTCAGCAGCTCAAGTTCCGCCAGGAAGTCCTCCCTTGCGGTATATATATGATCAACTCAATGCGATCCAGTCGGAGTTGATAGATGGCCTCTTTTCCTTGCAGAAGGAAAAACTCCCATCGGATGACGAAAACTTTACTAACATACTGAATTGTGCGAGAGCGTGTGTAAGGGACTGTAACACTCTTCTTAAGGCTGCCAAGACAAATCTCGAGAGAGAGACTCAAGATGGGCAAGGGGGACAGTTCTTGCGTTTAGTTGATCAGCTATTCGTGCCTCCATATTTTAGGAGTCTCCAAGGCGCGGTCGATGAGTACACTCGACCAAGTACTCACCACTCGGCGAAGTGAGTCAAACATGTGTTCATTGTATTGATCCATACTAACATTGACAGCAACATCATATGCCATTTGCACAACCAATTGGAAGCCATTGAAACCCGTTTCAATATTTCTCTAGGATGCGAGGCTTTCGAAGAGCTCCAAAGGTCTACAGCCCTTGTTGATGCTCAACTCGGCCAAATTTCTTACGGAACAGAGGCTTGGGACGAAATATGTGACAGACTGCAACACATATTATCCAACCTTCACCACCTACAGATGGCACTCCCAATGTTATGCGCCCTCAACCATAGCGAGAGATCACTTCGCCGGAGTAGGATCTCGACAGCTCTTGAGGGAACGTTCTCCTGGGTCTTCCAAGAACAAATAGACGACACCATCCTTGCTCATTCTTGGTTGCGTCGCTGGCTCACTTCAGATCACAGCCTTTTCTGGGTCACAGGAAAACCGTGTTCAGGGAAATCGACATTGATGAAATTTGTTTCCGAGCATCATGATACCCGAGATTTACTACAGGAATGGGCTAGGCATAGGGAGCTATTGATCGTCAATCACCACTTTGATGCCACGGGTCTACCAATCCAGAGATCGTTTGAGGGACTCCTGAGATCCCTCGTATTTGGAATTATCAGTGCAAAGCCAAGTCTCTTGAAGAATTCGCCGTCGAATCTTGGCTCAGCATCGAGCACCCTGCCAGCAACTTTCAAATTAGGAGACATATTAAGCTCCATAACAAGGAACGAAGTTCCAGTCAACATTTGTTTCTTTATCGATGGGCTGGATGAATATGAGGGAGATCATGCTAAGCTGTGTCAACTGATAGAAGATTTATCATCTCTCCCTCATGTCAAGTTCATTGTCTCTAGCAGACGATTGGCTGTGTTTGATACTTCACTCAATATTTCCTCTGAAGCCAAACTATCTATGGAAGAGGTCAATTGGAGCGATATCAGCAGATACATCACTTTTCACTTGGATGGAAGCCAGGTACAAAGCTATATGAACCATTCGAAGTACAAGGATATCAGTGCTAAAGCAGAGGGAGACTTCCTCTGGGCTGTTTTAGTAACTCGTTTTCTCCTTGAGGCTCCGCCTCTCGTGCTTGATGCCTACAACGGAGCAGACAGTGTTGCAGGCATCCCCAACAACCTACCAGGCCTAGCAAAGATTGTGACAGAATCTTTATCTTGTGGAAAAGCTGCTGAGTACCTGACAATGGCTCACGAAGCAAAACGGTACCTAGCTGCCGAAATCCTCTACTTTCACAACTTCGACTTTGCCAATGATATGTACGCTTTCATGACACCAAAGGAACTTTTATCAACACGCGACGAGAAAACAAAAGAACTGCATCACCAGATTTATCGTGACATCATACAGACGTGTGGAGGGCTGCTGGAAGTTGTCGATGGACAAGTTGTCTTCGTGCATCGAGCTGTTTTGGAATTGATGCATTCTGAAGAGTTTCACAACTACTTACTTACCAAAGCTCGGAAAGGGTTCGATTCTGAACTCTCGGTCTTCAAAGCATCAGTTTCTTGGTTCAAGCGCAAATGTTTCAGGAGCGGCCAATTCGTCGACTTACAGCCCGAGCCGGCAGCGGTCAGTCTAGCATATGTCAAGAGTCTTTCAAAGTTCCATAGGAGATTAGGAAGTACCTTGCCCGATTTTCAGGATACATTTAATCAGCCAGTCAACGTTTACTGGATGACAAAGGCCGTCAACATCCGAGGAGGCTTTCACAACGTATGCAAGCACGAAAGATGGCTGGATGTTGTCAAAGACTTGGGATATAGCGACGACACTGCACTATCAGTTTCAGATCCACTGAAGAAGCTGTATAAGCGATGGCTTCATCCGTACGAAGAGCATCTGCACCAAAAGAAGCTAGAAGAACACGACCCTATGAAAGATATTGAAGACCTTGTTGAGAGCTTGAGGAAATGCCTTGAATATGCACGACGTTGCGATCAGAAGGAAAATATTGCTGCCACAACTTGGGCACTCCTTGACAATATTGAAGAAACCCTGTTGTCGATGACTGCGAGGAATCAATTCAACATATCAGATTTGTCTATGACAAGGGGCATTTATCGTCATCTTGTGATTGAATCTGGTATCCAGAGATACATCGCGAACAAACTCTGGGTTGATCCAGGATATTTCGACAACAAATATTCACAGAACTACCGGTCAGCTCTTTGTTCTGCGCTTGGAGCAGTACCACATAGTCTTCATCCCCCGCATCTCAGTCCAGAGTCTGTCGATATATCGCTCTTTAAATCACTTCTTGCTCTTGGGTATAAGCCAAACAAGTTTCACCATGCAGGGGAGACACCTTGGGTGTCCTTTGTGAATACCTATGTTCCTAACACATTGTCCAATTCACCCCCGAGGCTCGACAAGATAAACATCAATCTGATAAATGAGATATCCATTCTCATGCTTGAGCATGGGGCCAGGCCAGGAGACTATGCCGAACTGCTGGACGAGAAATTGAGAACGTGGAAAGTTCCAATTTGGTTCAAGTTTCTCATGCTGGCCCATTGGGTACCGACTTTTCAACAGGCCATGTTCGAACGTGTTTTCAGTATGATGTTCGAGAGGGCCCCAGATATCCCTGATTCCAGAGCTTTACTGGAACTCAAATCCGATGGCGAAACATATGAATGGATTCCTTTTCCATTATGGGCAATATGTGCTGACAATTTTGCACTGCCTAACGTGTCCGATTCTAGCCCGTCTAATGCTGATTTTGTATTCAGGGTATTTGCAGGAGTTTGCGAAAAGAATCTGAATAACTTGGAAATGTCTGAAAGGTCTCGAAAATACCTCGCGAGCTACTTCCTTCCAGATTACCCGGAGCTTAGTAGACAAATATTGATGCTCAATCCCGGAAGCGACTCCAGGACGATAGGTTTCACAACAATCACCTCGGTCACGCGGGACGGAAATACAGAGAGCATTGAGGGTCTAAATTCTACGGCTGTGACTTCAATTGAGCTTCCAGAAGGTATAGAGGTTGAATCTCCTAAAGACGGTGCAGTGTGCAATAGCGCGAGAGCAGAGTCGGATGCATTCATTGATGAAGTTGGCTCAATTCAGTCGATTGACGAGGACATTCAGTCAAACAACAGCAGCATTGTACGGACTCTAGGCACCATCGCGGCTGAGAGCCAAATTGGCGACTTGCTTTCCCAGCATCCGGATCTCCGCTTTATCATTGATATATCCTCAGAACTCATGCCAAAGGAGAGGCTCGAGCGCAACATTCGGAGATCACTCAAGCTTTTGTATCTTAAACTCAGAGAGCACGCGGAAAAGCACATCGAAATCCAGGTTTTGACAACTCGAATGCTTAAGGGGCGAGGTTCAAGGACTAGAATCTCAAAAAGAACTGTCGATGGCGAGTTAGCATCCCCACCTCCAGTGAATAGCAATGAAGAAGAAGAAGAAATACGCCCAAGCTTTCGGAAGGATCGAGCTTATCTAAACAATTGGATATTAAAGACGGAACTGGCTGCAAGACCAGATGAGAAGCCTCAGCAGCCATCAGATGAGACTGAACATACTAAGCTGGCGGAAAGCGACGACGATATTAGCGAAGAAATACAGAGTGATTCTGAAGAATTTCAAGCAGTTCAGGTCGCAGAAGAATTTCTCATGAAGGGTCCTCCTTTCCAGGCGTTCTTGGAACACCTTGGACTCTCATTGTTACCTGATGCTCTCAAGCAGGTCATGCAATTAGCTGCGTGGGATACCATTGAGCTGATTGATACTCCGGCAGAAGTCTCACTTTCTGATCAAATCAAGACTTCTGTGGAAAAGCTGACCGGCAGCCTCTGGGATTGGTGGCCACTCAGACCGCCGAAGGTACCTTTGCGAAGGGGATACGTACGAATGAACTGGGTTTGTGTGAGTTATAACGAGCATGCATGACTTTCTATGCAACCTCCTGACCAGAAATAGCATTGCGGCAAGCCGTTTTGGGTAGACATTACTCACTCTCAAGCACGAATTATTAAGAGAATGACCAAGAACCCTACCATGTTTGCTGAAGACCACCACAAAGTCACCCATACCAAGCGTAATGCCTTCCAAAGGGTCACAGCATGGTTCAAATGGAACTCTGGAGCCATTTTACCTGTCTCGACGCCAATATCCCAAGGTAGTCAACAGTCGTCTGGTGTGGGTGGCAACAACCGAGTTCAACAGGGGGTGGCTACTGCGGAGCAGAACAACATCCCGCCTGTGACTATTGATGATCTGAGGATCTTATTTGGAGTACCCATGGGACTTAAGACGCTACATGTGATCCCAATCCCGGTCAACCAACCAGACAGCAACGTTTTCCCACAACTGAAGGCTGAGTATAGAAGAATGCGTGGCCGATGGAGAGCTTGGTTCTCTTTCTGGCAGCTCAGTCACTGCAATTTCGTCAAGGTGAGTGCATGTCCCTATAAATTTACACTCCCATATGTCGAATGCCTTAGATTGATCTCCCATCGCCTGTCAGTGACACTAATGGTTTGTTAGTTTGAGAGCATTGCCCGCAACATTGTTGTCGCGTGTGGTCAAGATCTGCCAAAGGCTAGCGACTTGGACTACGATTACATGCCAAAACCACCTCAAGCATCAATACCACCTGTTCATCCACATATCTTTGAAGCTGCATTCAACAGCTGCACTGGTGGCAAATGCCGAAACCCCTCTCCTTTTCACAACTGCTATGAGTTTGAAGAAACGACTTACATAAAGAGGATTCCGAAGAAGAAGACGCCACTTTCACCAGGAACCATTGATATTCCTATCTGGGGTCTCGAAGCCCGGCATTGCATCTCGTGCTTTCATGTTATTGTATACCACTTGCTTATTCTCATTCCTCCCTTTGTGCTGTGGGGATGGTGGATGAGTAGGCATCCTGATGACATACAGAGCGCATCTGTTCCCATGACTATTGTTTTGGCAATGATTTCTATGTTTTGGAGTGCTACAGGAATTATGAAGCAATTTCGTGGCGAGCCATAGTTCTATGGGTGGTCTGGGGATCTATTCTGAACTTTTTACTTAGAGATATGAAGACACGACTGATGATGATAGAATTGTTTCATGTCAGGGATCTGCAGGATATAGAGAAAGCTGGTCTTAAACAGAACGGAAGGACAGAGATTTATTCTATGCCATCTGTTGTCTCCTCTCTAGTCATATCCAAGCAGTATCTACCGCCAACTCGTCCTCGCCTGGATACTATCCTGCTCGTGTGGGGAATGAGAATCGTAACAGAACCGACTCAGACATCAACAAGATCAGGCCGCGTGGCCTAATGGCTAAGGCGCTAGATTTCGGTCTTCAGCAACTGATCCCTCTAGAGATTCCAGGTTCGACTCCTGGCGTGGTCGATTGACACAGCTGATCCATTTTCTTTTTACAATTCTCTCCTTCATATGAAGAAGAGATGTCTCTTTTTTTCGCTTTACGCAAGATGAGAGACAGAGCGAGCAAAAATGTGGTTCCGCCCGGGATCGAACCGGGGACCTTCTCGGTGTTAACGAGATGCCATAACCAACTAGACCACGGAACCTGTGATCATCGAGATTACTCTCTTGGCGATTGCTGGTTGGGATCTCGCTATTGGGCTCCAAGTTCCCGGAACCACAAGCTATTCAGAAAATAGACAGACTGATCACTTTCTTCTCCTGGTAAAACAGTCACTGAGCCAGTATTGAAGCAACATACGTCTATTCATACCCGTGCCGTACGCCTGCCCATGATATAAGACGCCTCTCGTCTCACTGAAACGAGTTACTAATGTCATCCCAATCAAAGTTATCCATGTCCTGAGTATCAAATCCTTCAAACATGGCAGCATCTCCTGAAGGATCCAAGCTTCCTCCGTCATTGGCAGATCCAAGTCCCAGATCAGATGGCACACCACCCATACTGACGTCAAGAGTCAAGTTATCAACTGACATGTTGTCACCCTGAACACCTGAAGCCGCAGCAGCCATGGCGTCTCCAAGTCCAGCGGTCTCACCATCGAGGTTAAGAGACATCTCTGCAGTTTGAAGCATTCCTGGAGGCTGGGGGACGATCATCTGTGCTTCGACACGACGATGTAGACGTACAACGATCTCAGCCAGTGCTGGGTCTTTCTTCTGGAGTTTCCTACAGCCTTCAGCCTCGACTTTGAGAAGGTCCCGGAGACTACGCTGCCGCTGGACCGGTGGCAGCATGTTTCCGTTTGCATCGACAACCGCAGGGGCATCTTTCGCGGCGTCAGGTGCACAGATCAACGAGATAGCAACGTCGTAGACAATACTGGCACTTCCAGCCTCTGTGTGTTGTCGAATCTCTTCCAAGATGACATGCAATACTCGTTTGGGGCCCATTATCTTCAGAGCAGCCAATATTTGCCGATGAGTATAAGAAGTCGGCATACTGTTCATGGCAGGATGAATGCTCCAGTGGACAAGGCCTTGGATGGTAAGTTTGATGGCACTAGAGAGACCAGTAGGAAGTGTAGTAGTCCAAGACTCGAGCTCATTGAGGTCAGTTCCCCCTGTTCGGCGTGACAAGGGGATGCTATCCTTGAGAGTCCGCAAAAGAGGTTCAATGTCTTGATTATTGGGATCTCGGCGTTGATATGTTCGTAAAGCATGCTCCAAAGGCTTTGCAATGAGGTTTTTGACGGATGAAAGCATTGTGCTTGCTTCTCCCGAAATTGAGCTTGGGAGAAGGATGAGTTGCAGAATCTTGATAATGGACTTCTGTTCTTTTTGGTCGATCCAGAGATAGTCTGCCAGGAATCGAATCGCCGGGACAAGAGATGGCAATAAGAAGGTATCCACAAGGTCTGGCTGGTCAGTATGGATCATCTAATTGGCAATGGTACTCACATTCTATGCCTCCCTTGAGGCTCTCGTCGTTGAGATAGCCATATGTATATGCAACGACAATGCTCTGGAATAGAGGTGCCACAACAAGATAAAACTCTTGCGGTGGGCAAGATGACATCAACTCATCACCGAGACCACCGGCCTCAGTATCGAAAAGCCCATGAATCCACCCGTTGAGGTGATCGTTCTCCCTTTGAGTGAGCTCATTGCATTGTCGTCCAATATGCCCCCTACCAATAATCTTAGCAACCCAAGAGTCAGGGCTAGCGATGCCAATTTCCACTGCGTTCAGGTTATATCGATATGTGAAAGCCAAAACAAGAAGTAGAACAGCACCAAACTCCTCGTACACGGGCTGATACTCTTCTTGGTCGTCTTCATAACGCCAGTTATCAAGAAGTTGACACAAAGGTTCAAGAATATTTGGCAGCTTCTCAAACAAGAGAATCACGTCTAAAGACTGTGGTTTTGCAGCAAGTTGGCTGCATAATACTTTCAACGACATCGTTTCCTTATTGTGGCATGATTGTCGTAGCACCTATGACTGTTAGACATAAATTGTCAACGAACAGAGCTACTTACCTCAGCAAGTGCCTGACAAACTGCACCGACATTGCCGTCCATCTTGTCGAGTTCTCGAACAAGGCCCTGAATCTTTTCCGTATCAGACAAGCAGTCTTGCACAAGCTTATCTTTGGAATGCTTTTGTAAAGATGGTTCATAGGAAAGCGATATTTCTCCCAAAATCCTCTCCACGTGCTCCCTTTGCACGAGACCATGTAGTACACACGCGGCGCAAAACTCTTCCCTAATACTTTCCGTGTAAGGATTATTGTTTCTCGACTCATCAAACATGAGTGATGCTGTAGGAAACAAGCTTGTATCTACGTGGCTTAGTGCCTCCGTAATACAGAATTCAGCCGATGTGCCTGGGAAACCAGGGGGTAACAGTTGATAGAGAAGTATAGGAACTTTGTTGATCAAGAATGATCTTAGAAGGTGGGCGTCTTTCTGTCCCTCATTGCGGAAAACCGCGTTGGCCAGGATATCAAAAGACGCAAGAATAAGGTCGATGGCGCTTGATTGGATGTCTCCTTGATACTTGTTGCTCATGTACGAAAACAAAGCATGGTCGTCCAAAAGAGGGCGTGCAATAAGCTAGCAAGTCAGTCTAGTCATTAACCCAGAGACATCAAACTTACCGCAGCATTCAGATAGATGTACAGTCCTGCCCGAGTGTTGCTGACTGGGATATCTGCCACAACAAAATTGTCCAGGCCAACGGCTGAATCAAGAAGTTCGTCCATAGCAGCATTAGTAGCTTGCTTCTTCTTATCGGCGGGATCAGAACTAGCAAGGATCTCCGTTCGAAACTGCTCGAGCTTGTCTGTTATTTGCGGCACGAGCTGTAACGTTGGCACAAAGCTTGCCAAGCCAGCAGACATTTCTTTCCGGACGTCTGTCCTAGTCAGCATGAGCACATTTGAGGTGCAATAGTATTACCTTTGGCAATTGGTTTGCTCACGGCTCCAACAAGGATGTCATTCTCGCACATCCGTAGGAGGAGTGCGACCAGAGCTGCCCTCGACGATTCCATTTCATCCCGTACCTGGGCTGTGTGCAATTGCTCAATCATATCGGCCGCAAATGCAGTCGTGAAAAGGACCATTAATTTGGAAATGATCCTTGTCATCTCCAATGCCGTTTTTGAATCTCGTATGGCTTTGCCTTCTACTACGGACTTGGTAATCCCGTAGAAAAGCACCTCTTCGGCCCAGTACGAGCTCTTCCATCGAGTAATCTTCTGTTTCTTTTCATCCTTCTCTTTATCGTCGCTTTTTTCGTTCTCCTTTTCGTTGTCCTTGCCCTCATTGGCGTTCGGTTGTTGTGCATACGCATGTAAAGACGAGTATTTGTACAGCGCTTTTAGTATTGATGGCGCATCGACGTAGCCGAGTCTTGTGAGAACTTGTAAATATTGAGGGATTCGAGGGTCGAGACTATTATCGTTTGACGGTTGAGGGCGAAGGAAGAAGTCGGCGACGAGGGCGGGAGGCAGAGGATGTTGGTCATGGACGAGTCGAACGTAATTCTCGAATTTCTCTGTATCGAGACGATGAGAGATGGAGCGCGCGACAAATTGAGACCAATATTCTATGGCCGAGCGCATCGCTTCTGAAGCTGCTGCGCGAGAGTCCATGGTGAAGGGAAGGGATATTCGAATCGATGATTATTTAAACGGTTGGTCGCGAGATGGATTGATGAACAAAGGAGCTTTGAATCGCGTCCATACGGTGATCCTTCAGGAAGTACGCCCGTTTATTCAATTAGGCTTCAATATACCAAGAAATTCCAAAACAAATATATTATAGTGGCGGAGATTTACTCTCCCAGCGTCGGCGCATAGACTTTTGTGGATGTAAAGCTTGAGCTGTCGCGGAGTCGATGGCCTGGACTTGGTGTTGACTTTGGTGGGACTCGCCGTGGCGCGGATTTGTTCCGCGTTGTATAAGACTGTCAGATCTATCAACTTGAACAAATCCGATCGCCATAAACTACCACAATAACGGAAATTACAGTCTTAAAAGTCATTCATATTATCTTATTACTGCTGACTACTCACCTTATCTATAAGTACCGCCGCCTAGAAGCCTGAGAGTCATTGAAAGATAAATCCACATTGATAGAACCATGACATTTCATTCATGGTTGAGATCCGTAGCTCATTCCACATACTGATTCCCTCCAGAAAACAATTGATTCTGATCTTAGATTTTCTTTGTTACGCCAGGCTCAATCTCCTCCAAAATCCCACTCAACTCCTCCCAGACCTTTCTACACATCTTCTCTCCTTCGTCTCCCTGCATAATCTTGGGCAGCTCATGAAAAGCACCATTAGACATGAACTTTCCGTTCAAACTTTCATCTGCAAACGCTCCAGCTAGCAAGGCGCGGGATCCCACCTCCGGAGTTCGTCCAAAAAGTGCAAGGAGACCTTTAAATATAAGATTGAATGGCCAGGGTGTGTTGTCGAAGAGTGGTGTGCTACAGAAGCCAGGATGTACGCCATTGACGATGATATAGCCTTTTCCAGATGCTTCGATAGCTTTGGCGAGCTGGGTCATGAATATGAGCTGAACGAGCTTTGTCTTGTTGTAGTGTTCAAGGACGCTTGGCTGCTCATCAAGAGCTTTGATGATATTTGGCTCTCTTACGGGAAGGCGACCCTAGTATAGTCAGTATAGATTGATGGTCGTTCAAGGAGGACTCACCTCAAATGCAGCATCAGAAGACACAATCACAATATGCGGAATAATGTTAAACCTGGTCGACGTCTGTCTTAAAGCAGGGAGAACAAGAAGCGTAAGTAGAGCCGTCGAGATGACATTGATGCTCAGCATGGACTCATGACCCTCGATGAGCTCACGCTTAAAGACGAGAAGACCTGCATTGTTGATCAAGACATCTACTCGGTCTAAGTTATTGACACGATCTGCAAACTCGCGAATACTGTCATGCGATGCGAGGTCTAGGTGCCAGACCTCGACGACGTTGTGTTTTCTTGTTGTCTCTTCGATATCTTTCTTTGCGTGCTCGCCCTTTTCAAGACTGCGACATGCGAGGATTACTCTGGCAGCGTTGAATTGGGTAAAGTGTCGCGCTGCCTCGACAGCAATACCTTGGAAATAGTCAGTTACTAAGTAATTAGTGGTGTGTATTTAACGTTAAATACCGCCGTTTCCGCCAGTGATGATGACTACTTTGCCTGTGCAATCTTCCTCTTGCGGTGGTATTGTGGTGAATTTGCCATAAATCATATTCAATAAGAACGACATCTTGATTAATGAGCGGCGATCGAAGCGAACGCCAAGACAAAGCAAAATGAGGGTGTAGTTCAATTGGTTGATATTGGAGCCGTGTCTGTAAGTATGATGGGTCGTTCTGTCAAATGAGATGATGAAGCACTGAGTGAGGTTCAGATGTTATTGCTGCTGACGAATTGTGCAACGGGTCAATTTAAGCCGAAGATGGTTGCATTGGTCCCCTGTCTGTACATAACCACTCACTGAACATGATTTATTCTGTTGCACTTTGTTGAACAGCTTCTACTATTCCGGGAGCCGGAAACGAAGTATATTTGAATACTATAGGCCTGTCCTACCTTGCTCTATGAATAATATGAGCTCGAAAGATGACGCTTTGAGGCTCAGCGATTCTTGACTGAATAAAGGCTTCATCACTGGCAATCCATATGAGCTACATTTCTTTTCAGTGATTATTTATTAATTAATTATGAAATCTATAGAATGACAAAAACACAGGGGAATCTCAACACTAAACAAATACCAGGATATCTCAGCGTCTCAAGTAGCAACCCTACTTCTCAAAAACCGTCATCATAGTCCTCTTGCCAGCCGCCCAACCATCAGCATAATCAGTACCCAGATATCGTCCCTTGACCCACCAGATCATGATGCTAAACAGCTTCATGGTTCCCATCTGGCCAGTAGCTCGGCTTCGGCCAAGTGTCACAGCAAACATCGGCTTAGCGGCAGGAGTATACTCGGGAATTTCGCCGCCATCTAGATGAGCGGGTAGATTCTTGAAAAGATGCTGTGCCTGTTTGTCTGCCATGCCGATCTGTGAGTTCTCAAGGTTGCCAGCGTCACCGATGACGAAGATGTTCTTTTGGCCCGCAGCCTTGAGATGGGTTGTCTGCTTGACGTAGCCTTTGCTGTCGAGAAGGTTCTTGGGAACGAACTCGGTGTTGGGGATGGTGCCAGTAGCAGGGAGATAGGCATTTGCGGTGATCTTCTTGGTCGTTCCGTCGGCAGAGCGCACCTCGAGGATGGTATCTGATCCAGAAGGTGTTGCGCTGATGACAGTTGTCTTTGGCATTGTCTTGACCTTGAGCTTCTGGAGCTCCTTGAGAGTCTGTTTGCGAACTCCATCTGTCGCGGGTGGCGCAAGAGGGAGATCGTCAGAGTAGATGAAGATGACCTCCTTGGTTCCGTGCTGAGAGTACTCGAAGCCGAGTTCACCGGCAGTCTCGGAGCCGGTGAGACCACCACCAGAAACAACAATAGTCTTGGCCTTGCTGATCTGATCTTGAATCTCATGCAACTTGGCCTTGGTAGCCTCAGTAGATCCGATATCCTTCCAGATCAGGCCATCCCTCGTTCTCGAGCCAGTAGCAATAATCAGAGTGTGGTAGTTGACTTCACGAACAGTAGCGCTGCTGTTAAGCTCAACACTGACGAGGTTGGAAGTGGTATCAAGAGAAATAGCTTTGCCCTGAATCCACTCAAACTTGTCGGTAGGATAAGTGCTGAAGGTAGGCTCCAAGGGGATGATAACCTTGTCGTCTGAGATTTGGCCGGGGACAACGACACGAGGCATGGCGACAGGCCAGTGGAAGTGAGTATTGGGTGAAACGACGACCATCTTGAGATCTTTGCGCTTCATGACTTGGTTGACCATTGTTTGACGGATCACGGGAAGGGCGGCAGGGCCAGCACCGAGGACCACGATGGTCTTGACGTCTGCCATTGTGGTAGTTGTTGAGTACTTATCGTAGAGAATTAGTTGTTGAGGTAGAATGAGATGCAATTGTAGTACTGCTTGAACGTGGTCGTAATGTGAGTGAAGATGCTTGATTCAGAACAGGCCGTAACTCTCTACCTATATACACAATGCAATTCACCTACCCTCCATCCCTTGCTTTCTCAGCCGATTAGAAACCAATAAATTACCAGTTACCGCGCGCACAAGCCCCGTGGCAAGGCAATAAAGGTTTTGCATTTCTGCCCCTGTTTAGATTAGAAAGACCAAATGCCGCTGCGCGCGGCAGATGTTGCGGAGCTGGTGCAAAATGGTCGATGGCCCCATAATTAGAGGTAACTGACCAATCATATTGCTTGACGCTGGTCCTCCCCTCTGCCGCCGGGGGCCTCGGAGACTTAAAATGCGCTGTGGCTTTCGCTTTGTCAGTGGATTAGATAACTCGGCGACGGGTTCTATCAAGACGCCGAATATTGAATTTTAATTATCATGACAATCAGACATTTTACATGTGTCGCTTAAAGCTCTGGTCTGGTAATCACACAGTTGATAAAGTCTCTATCAGTTCAAGTGAGAGTAATTAGCAATTGAAACATGTGTAGGGTGCCATAATCTTCAGAGTCCTGACAACTTCAGAGAATATAATGAGAGTTCTTCGTCAATTAGATTTACCGTGATGCTAGACCCTGCATGCTAAGTTCGAATCGGTTGACAGCTGGTGCACAGCCAATGAAGGCCAAAGCCAAGGACCCTGGCCGCTGAACAGGGAAACTTGGCTCGTGGCCCACCTCATTCCAACAACTTTAAATCAACAGACGAATTACATCAATAAAACAGTTCGTGATTCAATGAAGAGTATCATATCGACCAGGCTGAGTTTCTTAAACAGAGAAGAATTATACCAGAACTCTGAGAATTACTGGATTACTGGTAACCCAGTCTGGATCCCAAATGCGGACATATACGTCATCGTTGCTCTAGGTTAGGCGAGCCGAGTTCGCACCATCTTCTTGGTATCAACTCAAAATATCACTTATCAACAACATCACCGTGTTGGATACATGCAACATCGACCTTTAACCCACAGCCTGCGGCTCAATCATATAGCTTCGATGAAGAATGCATGGCGATTCCTGTACTGTGGCTTTAGTTCCCCGTGGGCCAGCAAACTTGACCAACTCTTGTGAACTCTAAGCGAATATCTGGTTAGAGATACGAAACATGTCATAATGTAATGGAAGATAGATGGAGCCAAGAGGAGAAATACTTCTTCATGAAGCTATCGGCCCTGATAAGATCACCGAACAAAATTGCACGTCATGATCGTGATCTCCTCACTCGTCAATTTCAATTGTCGTCATCTTCTTTCTTGGCCTGACGCGGACGAGGAGATGCTGACGATATGCTAATCTAGCATTGCCAGTCATTGTGGGTATAATGAAGGTGCTGAGAAGTTCGCTCTAGCTGTTCATCGAGATGGTTTTCGTTATGGTACCCCCTATGACAACAGCCGTTAGGTACTTGATCTCGATGCTACACACTGACTTGTCATACCCTGCAGCGTCACCAACCTAGTAAGCGGCCCGAAAACAAATATCCGAATGGAGATAATGTTATCGAGATCTTGTACAACAGCCGTGTATGGTGACGATGGGTTGCTGACTCTGTTCGATGTGAGCCATCTCAGGTTGCATGGCTAGCATGGGTAACCCTCGACGTAATGCCAGCTGAGATCACGTCGTAAAAGCAACCGAGTCGAGACCACGGTGACATATCCCTTGTCCTTCTGCCGTCATGAACTGGTCGACAGGGGACACTGAAGCTTTGTCGGGAAGAAAAAACCCCAGGGGTGGTGGTGCGGCTCAAACGTCATACCCTGAGAGGCGCTGTAATATGATGCAAAACTTCGCCGCAAGGCAACCACTCCACCGTTGCTTTGACCGGGGATCGTAAGCAACTCACCAATGTGAGAATTGACAGGCAGAAGGAATATCGAATCATTGCTTGTTGAGATTGTGTAGTTGATTACTCCTTATCGAGGAGGTGGGAGAGATTGGTAGAGGATTTCGAGAGAATTCCCAACTTTGGTGACCAGCAAGTTACAATTTATGTGAATGACTTCCATTCGCGGCTTTTGTGGCCACTGCTATGCGCACAGTCTTCCCAATTGCAATTGAAAGCTCGAGGAATTGCTCAGACCAGCGGGCTAACATCGAAACGTGCAATTGAGTATTCCAGACTGTTTCATCAGGGGCCATCCCAAGTCAGTGAAGTCACCAACTTGAAGCGGACCCATCTTGCATCACGTAGAACCTTATGTCATCTTCTCAGACGACGTCAAAACAAACATCAAAAGCAAGGATGCGGTGCGGGCTCTAGACGAGGGTTAGGGGACCCATTCTGTCTTTCAAGCTAGGAAAACATCGATGGGTCAGGGTTTAGAACGGCGAGAGAATCTCTCCAAGTCACAGAGGTTCTTTCGTAGGTGGCATGGATGATTTTCGTATCGACAAACAGAGTTGGAAATGCAGTGTCGTCATCACGTGTCACGCCGGCTGATCAGAGGCGACAGCATTAGGAGATGCCCTTTTGAGTATCGACTCTGCTGTAAGGGGTCCAAAGCGCTGAGATTTGGAGAGTGCCGTCCTGACCTCGAGATCAGAGGCTTCTGTTTGGTCCAAAAGCAAGGCCAAGAAGCCGTTTTGGCAGCACAAGCTTGTGGGGCATAAAGTGAGGCTCTAAGAGAGTTTTTTGACGTCTGTGACAAGCTGAGGATAGCTTCAGGCAAGGCAAGGAACCAACAGAAAAGATTGACGTCGAGACTCGGACGCAGCCTTTTCGTTTGGCTGTCCCTGGTTGGCCAATGACGCAAATGGCATGGAATATCGGTGATATCTCTAGCCTTGTGGGTTAAGGATAATCTCTGCAGCCCGCCGCTCTGGTCTGCTCATGACGCTGTTTGCTCCCGGGACGTGCAGCGTATAACAGAGGCGAAACGGTGCTGAGGCGAGATATGACGGTGTACGGTAGCATCCTGCATCTTCCTCTCAGGGCCTCCGTTTTCCTATTCTTCCCTTTCCTGTTGCGGAGGAGAGATGAAGATAACCCCTGTAAGAGGTGACATCAGCAAGCGACTCTTTAGCGTGGCGGCTGAGTGACCTCATTGACGCACCTGTCTCACAGTAGACAGCCATGCATGCCGTCATTGGCCCACTTGACTCTCGACTACAATTTCCCCTTTCTCTACTGGTTGAGCGGCACAGCACACAGTTTTTAAATGCTCGCCATGATGACTTGATACTGTGGTGACAATCCGACGTAATAGCAAATTTCTCTCCGTTTCTACACGACTTAGACCGTTTCCGTGGCGGGAAAAGGAGTGCTAGAATGCAGTAATGAATGCACAAGAGGTTGCACTCCTGTTGACTGCCGACGTCAACAGATGATTCATACCGGGGCGTGTTCTGCAACCTCTTGAGGATTCAGGGTCTTTCATGTGCAATCATAGCTCCCAAGATTCGGTGTGATGTACACCGAGATAAGATCGGGGAAAGTGGGAATAGCCTCGCTTCAAAAACTTTGTTCATGCGTAGAGTAACATCTGCTGGTCATCAACAGAGCAAGGCCTTTCTAAGATTTTCGGTGCGTGATCAACCAGGTATGGGGAAATCAGCCGCCAAGATGGGATTTTCGCAGATTTCCCATAGTGTTGGGGCCGATTTTCCCCCCTTCCGTCTAAATTCACTCACTCAGAAATGGATCCAGTGATGTGCGCCTCCCGAGAGCATATCGAGCTCTCCCCACGTTGATGCTACAATGTTTGAGCCTCAAAGATTATCTTCTGCCATGAGACCCAATGAAATCTGAAACTTGTGGCTCTCGATGTACGCCAGTGCTTGTCGACCTCGAGATCTCAAGCACTTTGCTTGAGGCTTTTGTCAATTTGGAGTAATCCCGCTCTGATCCTTGGGACTAAGACACTAAGTCAACTAGAGAGCGGCACCAGAGCCGGAAGAATGCCAGCCCGAGAGCTGTAATGATGATCCCTGCAATCTGGCTCTTAAGGGTCCTTGTCTTGGCAAAAGAGTCCAGGGCCTGGGCGAACCGTTGCTGCTTTCAAACAGCCGCGTGACCCGCTCTACGAAGCTCGTGGTCCCTGGCGTGGTCTCATGGTCTCGGAGCTGAACAATCATTCAGCGGACTTTTGGGTAACAGGCGGGCGCAGTTTGCGGTAAAGTCTGTTTCCTCAATGGCATAGGCTTCCATTTCGCGTTGTCTCTTCTTCGTAAGAGGTCTTATTTGTCGTAATAACACATGTTTCTCAGGCCATGATGCCTCCGCATGCATCATTGCCCCGTCTTTTGGCTTGAGCTTCGAGACATGACTTCCAATCACCCACCACCATAGTCGAGCAATGATGCACGAGATGACTTCAGTGCCGGGACCGGATCAGCAGGGTCTTTCTGTATCTGCGCTGTGCCCCATGCCACTCGCGATTGATGTGAGTTAAGCTCTTTGCAATGGCGCAGGGATTTGCTGATCAACAAAGAGCGGAGTGGAATACAGTAACGGTCGTACTGTAAATTATCTCATTCCTGCACGTAGCCTCACCTCTCGGAAGCTCTGAATGGAAAAAAGTGGTGATGGGGACAGGACCCTGAGCTATGGACTTTAGCGAATCACAAAAGACTTCGTCAGGGTGCAGGGATAAACCGACGATCTCTCCGAAGCTTACAGCGAGCCTCCAGTAGGGAGTCGTCAAGCTACGCCATTGACATGCGCTAGAGGACGTCTATCTCTGACGATCAGTCGCTCATGATGGCATTACATTGGCCTGAGCGGACAAGAGGAGAGGAGAGGTTATTGAGTTTGAATTGTTCTTGTTGATGGTATCACGGTTGGGAGATGTCAATGAGTACTCGAGGCCTTGACCCAGATGTTAGAATACTCGGGCAAATTTGTGATAGCTTATGATAATCCGCCAATATTTACCGCTTTTGTATAAGCTGACCTCTGTTATTTTCGCACCCTCACCAAAGGCCTCAAGTCTTTTGGCTTTCCTAGGGACGGGTATGACATCCGGACTATGAAGAGTGTGTGTGAGAGAGAGAGACAGACACAGAGAGGAAAAAGAAGGGTCCATCCATGATGATGATGGGCTACGGTGCCACTCACACCACCACACACCCACTTACACGCACTAACATCGGATGCCACACCCCATTACACAAGACGAATCCACTGTGACTGCATTTTCAAGGGACCTGGGGGTGGAGGCTTCAGGTCTGGTCTGGTGGGCTTGGACTTTTGGGCTTGGGCTTGGGCTTGCAGGTACCCAGCCCGCTCCGCTCCTCTCCCTCTCGGCACTGCTGATGTGCATTCGAGCTCAGGCTGTAGAGTTTGTGGTATAATAAGACCCTGACATCCCCCTCTCGATGTTGCTTCTCATCATCAATCAACACAACAACAACAACAACCACAAACAACTTCAGCTACTCTCCAGCCTCATTTATAAACTCTCTCCCCTTTCAAGCCGGCGTTTACCACTAGCCTATTCAATTTCTCAATTCGACTCACTTGCTTCAGTCGATAATTCATAACTCAACCTCATCTCAAACAAACCACTTACACAAACACCACAAAACACCTTCATCATGCCCGCTCGATCAGACTACGGATCCGTCTCCATGTCCATGTCTCCCCCTCCTCCCACAAACCTCTCAAGCTATTCCCGCTTCATGCACGACCACACAAAGCGTCAGATGGAGGCTTCCGGTGCTAGCCCACCCCCAACCAACGCTACTGCTCAGCGCGCCCGTTCGTCTGGCATGACAAACGGCCACACAAGCCCCAACTATTCATAAATCATGATGAGAATACGACAATCCTAGAACTCCACTTTCATCATGAGTTCTAGTTCTCATTTTTTTTTTGTCGTTCTGCCTTGGCTGTTGGGGCGTGACATCAATTGCGACGCCAATGGTGGCGAAGCTGCCCCCAGCCCCTTCTAAGCCAGGCTTCATCTCACTATCACATTTCTCTCATGGAGCACATTATCTACGGCGTACCGGTGCCTAAAAAAGTTCATTTTTATATGACGACATGGCCTATTTTCAAAGTTCTTTTCTTTACAAGCAAACACGATATGCAAGGCGTTTACGGTCGAGGGTTATGAGCTGCGAGAGTAGCACTGTAACATAGCGGGAACAGGGACACACAAACATTAGCGGAGGAAAGGGATATAGCTCTATAGCTATTTGCTTCAATTAGCGAAATGATATATGAACGAATTATTTGATCAAAATTCTTCCATTGATGGTGAACTGAATATAACATGACCCCTTGCTTGCGCCAAACACACGATTATTACACATATAATAATCTAGTCTTTCTTGACCATTCCCTTATGACGATTTCTTTTTCAGTCCTAGAGCAGCTGCATGATCTTTCTTCTTTTTAACCGCCCGCTTAAAGGTTGGCGCTGGGGCTTGCGGCTCGACAGGAGTATCTTCTGGCTCAGCAACCTTCGCAGAACTCTCCACTTGGGCTCGTGCCGCAGCGAAAGCCGCCTTGGCAGCTTCTTCGTCCTCCTTTTCCTGTTGTTTTCTCTCTTCGTCCTCTGTCCGTACGATAGTATCTACGAAATCCACACCTTCTTTCTCGGATCGGTTGATGCGAGCGTTTCTGTGGCGGATTTCGTCCAAGGCATCGGCGGCGGCCATCTCTCGTTGAGCATCCTGGTTCTTGGCTTCCAGCTCTTCCATCTTGTCCAACTCTTCCTCGCCTGCGGCTTCTGCTTCTTCTCTTTCCAACCTGTCCAGACGCTGTTCGACGCTTTCTTCCTCAGCAGCGCGATTCCTCCACGGCTCATTGTTCCTCACCGCTCCACTAACTACAACGTAGTCTTGGTTTTTTGGGTCGGTCTTGATGATTATCTCCGAGCTACAGGACGAACATCGGAAACTAAGTTTGACGATCTGTATTCCTAAGTACTTTTCGTCCGGTGGAGTCTCCTTGCGAGCGTTCTTCTTCAGGCCGCGATTTGAGAAGGCGCCGCATCGCGTGCATCGCATAGTAAACTAGAGATGGATGTTAGCTTTAGTTACAACCTCACAGGAGTTCTATGGGTCAATACATACTGGACACATGATGCGAACCTGCTGAATGCGAGGTCCAGCGTTCTTGGGACCACGACGACGCTGAAGAGCGCTCGGATCAAAGTCGGGAGGATAGTATTTCTGTAGTACTTTGCGTTCCGACATCGTAGGCGAATTCGAAGAGTAGGTATTTCAAGCAAGGCTTAGTTATACGTGGACGCGCGCTTGTAGATTAAAGCAGATGCTGGTGGCAGGGTCAGATTCGTGCTGTGTGAATGATCGATCGTGAAGATCGAAGTTTTGGAGTCGAGCAGTCGCAAAGCATAGCTGATAATAGCGGGGCGATTTGGCTGAATAATTCACAGCCAACCAATCAGCTCGTGTCGCGATTCAGCGGTTCCCAAAGGTGAGGAAGTCATTCGAAGTCATCGCAAGCTGTTGTGATTCATTTTGTCACTCAGGACTGAGGTCTTCAGTTTCTTGCATCTCCTAATATACCAGAAATATCTCTCAGCGAGCGAAGATATTGGTATCATGGATGGTTTTACGGATACCTTACTCAAGGTGGTAAGCATAGTGCGCTGTGCAAATAAACTTACTTTAATAATCTGGCTAGAAGAGGCTCCAAAACTTAGGACCTCGATCCTAAATAGTAAAAAGACTTAAGTAAAATAGTATAAGTTTCATATAATATTGATATAAGTTTATAGTAGGATACCTTAACATATTTTGCACCTTTTATTAAGGTCTGATATTTTCTTGTTCCCTACCTTACTGCTTACCTCGAGGTCTGCACGGAAGGCCCCACTATTTCTAGGCGGCTCCACACTCTTAACATCCTCTCCATCCACTAGCTTTACATGAGAATCTTCCTTCTTCAAACATTATCGCCAACATGCCAAAGGCCGAGGTCGGTTCAACGAAATACGTCGCAAACCGCATGAAGGCCAAGGGCCTTCAGCGTTTGAGATGGTACTGTCAAGTCTGCGGTAAGTAAACGTTGCGCTGTCTCATCATTGTGGTGCCAACTCCTCTTTATCTCACCTCTGAATCTCATAACAAATACTAACTATTTCACAGAAAAGCAATGCAGAGACGCGAATGGCTTCCGTCAGCACACAGTTTGTGGCCCCCTGAGTCATGTAGCGAGAAAATTACTAACTATCATGGTAGATGTCCGAATCTCACGTTCGACAAATGTTGCTTGTCGGCGAAGACCCCAAGAAATACATAAAATCGTACACGCAGCAGTTTCAGTCAGACTTTCTTCAGCTTCTCAGGACCGGTCACGGTGAAAAGCAGGTCCATATCAACCATTTTTATCAGGAGTACATACGAAACAAAGAACACATACATATGAATGCCACCTCTTTTGCCAGCTTAACGGAATTCGCAAAACATCTTGGCCGCGAGGGACTTTGCCGCGTCGAAGAAAACGATAAGGGTGTTCACATAGCGTGGATAGATCGGTCTCCAGAAGCCCTAAGACGACAGGACGCATTAAGACGCAAAGAGGCCCAGGATCAAGGCAACGAGGAGATAGAACAACGAATGATTCGGGAGCAGATTAAGCGAGCACAAGCCACCGCCGGTAGTCGGGAAGAGGAGAAAGAAGAGGACAATGAAGCTCGAGAGCTAAAGCGACAAGAAGGCGAGAAGATCAAGCTCTCATTTGGAGCGAAGCCAGCTGCTTCTGAAACGAATTCATCAGGAAGCCCCGCGCCTGACATAACAGCCCCTGAAGCAGAATCTTCAAAGACAGCAGACACAACTACGGACAAAGGGAAAGAACCGGAAGTAGCGCCAGCGAAGCCCGGTGGATTTGGAGGTATCTCAATGAAGCTTGGCGGAAAGCCTCAGACCAAGAACGTTTTCGCCCAGGCCAAGAAGAACGCTCTCGCTTCAGGATCGAAGAAACCAGCCAAGATTGAACAGCCAAAGAAAATGAGCGAGGCTGAACGTATAATGAAGGAGGAGATGGAGAAGAAACGATCAAGAGAGTCTGCTGGATTTAGCTTTGGGATGGGCTCTGGTAAGAAGCAGAGAAACAACTGAGAATATTAGGGATGATCTTACAGCTTGGACTGGGTTGTAGGAATTATAGTAAATAGCATGGGTGAAATTATGTTCAGCACAAGATTTGGATGGGGCGTTTCTGCTTTAATCTACCATCGATACCACAACGGCCGCTTTTAAATAATCATACGCGATTTTCCATCATATTTACTGCTACGCCAGTCCCTCCAACGCCAGTTTCGCCAGAAACAGTAGAAGAAATTATTCCAAGCCAGTCAAAACTTGGCACCCTAAGCATCGTTCTCCGCCTCTGTGCCGTCACGTCTATAAACCCAGTCAGTTCAGTCCATGCTACCCGTGTCCAAGTTCGACTTACGGAATGTACTGTATTCTATACTCGTCTTCCAACGTCGATCGAATTTCGTCGGGGAGTTGACCTGACACTTTGATGGCGTACATGCCAGGGACATAATTGTCAAGGCGCTGATACTTTGCAATCCATGATTTGGCCGGGTTTGCGAGGGTGATAACTCCTTCGAAGACTTGGGAGGTGCAGCTCTCAATCTGGTCTTGAGAGTGCTGGAGATGCAGAAACTCTTCGCAGTTTGGGCAGCCTTCGTCGCGGAAGCGCTAGGATCGCAATATGTTAGTCTCGGGCTCGTGCTTGTCTTCGCGACGGAGAGGACGTACTGCGTAGGTCATGACAACAGAGCAGACCATGCATGCTCGTAGGTAGCGCGCTTGGCCGGTAGAGACGTAGTTGGAAGACGACATGGTTCGTGTTTCGTTGGAGATACCGTCGATGGTGTTTTGTTTCGGCGATCGGTCTGGGGCGTGAAGAGTGGTTGTTGAAATGTTGAACAAGTTCGCGACAAAGGCGGCGGATGAAGAGCCATTATGCATTTAAGCGATATACGCAACAACTGCAATATCCACTCAAACTTCAATCTTTCATTGAAGATAGATCAACTTGACCATCAACAAACCATCTCATTACTTCTATTCAAAATGACGCAAAATTCAAGCCAAGGCAGTCAAAAATCAATATTTCAACAGAAAGATCTCGAAAAGTCTCATAATCTTCTCACATGCACAATCAAGGAGCCACCATTCTCATATGTACACCTGCAGCTTGTCAGTTTCAGTGGCTCATCATCTGTCACACTTGACAATCTTTCGCTGAAAAGCTACTGTACAACTGCCCTCCGTCGATGTCTTGGAATGGTAGGAACCGCAATTTCCATGGATATTCTTAAAATTGACAACGACCATGCCTGGGTCCGTATTCCAAGACCAGACCTTGGCTCCTTTGCAACGGCAATCACAGCATGGCAGGGCACAACGGATGATGGCGAGCAAGTAAGCCTACAATTACGACAATGCTCAGACTGGCTAGGCGCCATGGTTGGAGCGGACGGACAAGATCGACTATGGAATGCTTGAAGAGTGGCATTTTGTCATATTTATCATCATTCAACTGGAACCTCATTTTATCAACTCATCTATCCGAAGATGGGGGTATAAATGTATGCATGTACATCGCCCATCGGCCTACCCTGCAAATGCACCGTTTCCAGACGCCCGAGACCTGAATACATCGTGAAATCGCCGCCTGTTTCGCTTTCTAAAGGCTCTCCGTTTTTTCTACATCAGGGAAGACATGAGAGAGCTTTGCGCATATGCCTGGCAGTTAATCAGTATTGGGGGTTACGAGATTGGGCATCGAGAGACACTCACCATTGGCTTGATGTCGGGATGAGGCACAGCATCAAATTGCTCGTACTGGAGTTTGTAGTCGGGGCCAATGTTGATGTAGGCACCCCTGTTTTCTGTTGAGTCGCAGTATCGAGGGGCAGAGAAGACTGAGGGAAGGTCAGCAAAAGTTCAACAGAGATACCCAGAATAACTTACCGGTAATACAGCGGCCATCGTGCTGCACCTCATATCCGTCCATGCGAACCTCGTGACTTCGAATAACAGCCTCAAGACCGTTCTTCTCACAGAACTTCTTGGTGATGTCGGGACCGAACTGCATACCGACACCACGCTTGCTGGGTCCTCGGCCGTTCTCCTCCTGTGGGTCGGTCCAGAGCATCTCCATCATCAAACCAGCTTGACCCGGTTGTCGCTGGTTGTGTCGGTTGAGTTTTCGGATATCGTCAAGAGTGACGCTGTCATCAGAGAAGAGACCTCCGTGAAGGACAAGGTACTTCTTGCCAATGAGAGTGGCCAGAGCAAGGGCAGAGAAGCTCTCAGAAAAAAGCTTGAAGACCCTTCATACTCAGTCAGTACCGGCACATGGATATGTACATGGCTCGCAAAACTTACCGCTCGTTATACTTGGCTTTGCACTCGCCCTCGAAACCGTACACACGGTTCATATCATCCGTTTCGTGGTTACCGCGGTTCAAGAAGAACTGGTTAGGTCGCAGCCACTTGTAAGCATAGAGGAGCAGTGCGATCTCAGTCGACCAAGAACCTCGGTCCACGAAATCACCGTTGAAAAGATACCAGTGCTTCTCGTCGGGGGTTCCGTTGCGGCGGAACAACTCCATAAGATCAAAGTATTGACCTGAGGTGGCGAATTAGCTTGGTAAACCTCTGACCGACAAGTGTTCTTACCGTGAGTGTCACCACAGACAGTGAGCTTCACGTCGCTGGGGATCTCGACCTCGACCATGGTGGGCTCGTCGTATACAAGCTTCTTGACCGCGATGATGATTTGGTAGACGTATTTTCGGTGGATCTTCTTGCCCGTCTTGAAACGTTCAATCATATCGTCGATGAAGTCTTGTGTCATCTCGTCGCCTAATCGCACACCATCGTACCCTGGCTCGACCACCATGGAGTCCAGATCAAGACCCTCGGCCGCTGAAGGCTCATCGCCGACCTCGATTGCCGCAAAGAAGGCTAGCTGACGGACGATCTTTTTGCACTCCTCCAGCTTGAGTCTGGCATCCTTGTTGCTGGGATCGAGGGACACGCATGTCTTGAAGTCGTCAATGGCTTCCTTAGGTCGGAGGATCGCAGTCTTGGCCAGTCCTCGTCGGTAGTACGCCTAGCACGGTCAACATTTCAAAGCCTCTTCCTTCGGGTCGTTGGTAGTCTTGTGGCGAACCTTGACAAGTTTGGGGTTGAGCTCGATGGCCTTTGTAGCGTCGGCAATGGCGTAACCGTAGGCCTCGGTCTTGATGTATGCCTAGAGTACTAAGTCAGGAAAGGTTCTGGGGGTAAGGTCGTGTGATATATTGACGCACTTGGGCTCGGTTGGTGAAGAATGTAGGCTCCTTGTCGTTCAACTTAATGGCCTGGCTGTAAAAGTCTACAGCACTGGGATAATCACCCGCTTGGAAGGCTTTGTTGCCCTTGTTCTTGAGTTCGACAGCCATTTTGCGAAGTGAGCGCTTGTTCGGCGAAGAAGTTGGCTGCACAGAAGGAAACCGAAGAGGGAGGAGGGGGAGGGGTTCTGTCGTTGGTTTGCGCCGAGCTGCGCTACAACCGCTCAAGTCAGTCGCAAAGAGAGAAGAAGCGGATTGTGAAAGGAAGGATTCAGAAATAAGCTTGTGGAATGCTAAAGAAGCGAGACAATCTGCCAAAGCGGCTTGGTTCCACAATGTGAGGAAGGGGAAAGAAGTTTTGGACGTTGCTGGAGGGCGGCTTTTCGGTGGAGTTTCTCCCCGCTGGCGGCGTCATGAAGACGAACCTAGAACGCCTGGCGGGGCGAGCTTAACGGGCAAGGCTTCAGGGCTTTCAACCTTTGTGATAGGTTAGAAGGCCCCTGTAAGCGATCGCAGCTGGGCGCACATCAGCAATGCCTAGCGTGGCCACGCGCCTAAAGTTGGGGAATCTTTATCAATCGCCACCAACACCGATGTGTGAGTCTTGTGTGTATTTGCTGCATTGGAGCCTAGCCTCAGATGCCAAAAGGGGATAGATCGTCTCTTTATTGTGCTACGTTCATGCAGTTCAAGCCCAAGTTTTCCAAACTTTCATTTACCAAGCTATTGTAGTACTCATAAAGCCTACCTACCCAGAGTAATGCCGCTGAGTTACTACCCAAGAAGTTAACCTGAGGCTTCAGGTTGTTCAAAGTTACCTTACCTTGAGTACCTGGACTGTCTTGGCTGAATCGGAGATCGGTTAGTTGCATATCAAGATCTCGGCCCCACTGCTTCGTTGTTGGAACCTCAGACAAAGTTATCACAACCAACAGACGCAAACCAAACTCATATCCAAAAGACTCGACTCTGAATATCTGAACCGTACCTAGCGTCATATCGCAACTAGAAAACACGATCCATCACTGATAGTGTACTTTCCACGGCTGGTGCGCGTCTTGCGCCCAGGGTTGGCCCATCATGGACTCATCAGGGTCAGTCACCTCAAATGCGCTGGTACGCAAGCGGACAGATACAGACTTGATGCCCCCGCCTCCTCAAGCCAAAAAGATAAAACGACCCAAGAAGGTACTTGACGAAGACACCTACACAGAAGCACTGTCGCAAATCATCGCCCGGGACTTCTTTCCAGGACTCCTTCAAACTGAGATACAGCAAGAGTATCTAGATGCACTGGAGTCAAAGGATGCTGCTTGGATCTCAAGTGCGGGCCGAAGACTCCAGCATGTTATGACGCCAGGACGCCGAAATGCACCTCTCTCGTCACAGCCGAATTCCTTCACTTCTGGTGACAGGACACCTTCAACATATGGCGGTGATACGCCAGCTTCAGTTACCTCTCATGTTCCGGATACTCAACCACGGCTAGGAGCCAACATGAGCCTAACAAAATTTCAAGATACTTACACAAGTGAGGATAATGAAAGCTTTTACAAGCTCGTCGACAAACAGAATCAGAAAAAGGCGGACAAATATGCCTGGCTTTGGCGCGGTAACAAACTGCCGTCAAAGCAAATGATCAAACAGAAAGAGGTTGAGGATCGACTGAGCCAAACCCGAAGCCTCATAGATGACGGATTCAAGAAGGATTTGTTGGCCATCAAGGACAAAGACGACCGACCAGCTCGCCCTGATTCCTGGAATGCCAACCCTCGAAACAGTTTGATGTTTAGACCTGACGGGTTAGACGATGGTGTCCTCACCGTTTCTCAGAAGGCCGAAGAATCCTCAAGGATGGCTCCAAAGTCAATAGTTTACGAGAACACGAGAATGCCACAACCGCGCATTACACCAAGACCGTCATCTCCAACCATGTCAGCGGTGCGAGACGCCATTGCCGGCAAGCCTCGGAAAGATGACCGAGACTCTAGCATCGTTAGCGGAAACGAGACACCAAGAGTTAATGGATATGCTTTTGTGGACGACGAGGATGATGAAGAGGAGCCAGTCCTTCCTGCTCCTATCATCAACCTAGGCCCGGGAGATGCAGCTCCAAACCCTTTCCGCTTGCAAGAGCAACGCGACAGAGAAAGTCTACACGAACGCATGGTGGAGAGGATATCTCAGTCGAAGAAGGAATCTTCAAGGAATGGACTTACAGGGAGAGTTGACAAGACGCCGGTTCCAAAATTTCCTAGTAGTCCTCGGGTCAATGGTGGACTTACACCTGCAGCACAAAGGCTTTGGAGTAAGGTTGGCACCCCTGGACGTGGATCAAGTGGGAGCTCATTTGGGAATTCCAAGCCCATGACTCCCAGAGGCTCACTTTTGAGATCAGTGAAGAGACCTGGCTCAATATCTGGAAAGAAGTAACGGAGATACCGTGGTGACAAGATTCGGGGCTTCTCTTGCTTCCCACGTCTTCCACGTCTCCCCAAGTGCATTCATGGACTAAAAATTGCTCCAATGTTCCATCAGGTTGTTTTCACATGACCAGTCACTATCCTCGTCGAACTTTTTAATAGCATGGTGTTGTGCTGGCGCTACATACTTTTCACGATACCTCCAGCGGCTTAATAAAGAAGCGCAACCATCCTGGATTATTTACATGATAAAGGAAATAGAATTGAAATTCAGATAATATTTTTTTTAATGGCCGAATAATGTGTCTGGTTCCTTCAGCTCTCAGACAAGGTCATTTACAAGGAACCCGTTAGTTGCATGACCCATCGATTAGATCATGGACTTTTTTCGTAGGACCTTGGAACGACCAACCCACCAAACCGAGCTGGCAGCCAACGCCAGCAAGCCAGACAATATCAATCACCTCCATTCAATGTGCTTCTGGCCCAAGTAGGCCGCCTAAGCCCGATGAGGTTCGTCGACTTCGCCATCGACCTTGCGGCAGTGCTCAATGCCTCTCGGGGTGTCGCCGCTAAGCATGTCGCGCTCCGAGGTCGTCAGATCGATACCTACAGTCGAACTTCGAGCGTTGCCGCGGCATTGAGGAAGCGAAATGCTCAAAGGGGCTCACCGCCGGGAGAGAAAGCACAAAATGCTACGGCGGCAAGCGATGAGGTCGTATACGAGCAAGCTGCACCGGCAGCACGAGAGACGAAACCTATAGTCGAGACTCCGAAACAAAATGCTCCGCCTGATGTGACGAGAGCAGAAAGAGCACCCTTCAGTAGTCCGATACCAAGTTTCAGGCCGAGCCTACAGCAACAGGCTACATCGGAACCGGCGAAAGAGGATGACCTTGATCTACCGCCTGGAATCGACGTCAATATTTTCCATACCGCGAGAGGTTCCAAAGTCCTCGACTCTCTACGAAAGCAAGGTCGGCCTGGAGCACCTCCTGCACGCCCCGGAGTTGGGGGTCCTGTGAAGCCACATCCCATGCGAGACTGGCCTCCGCGCCCACCACCCCTCGAAGAGAGCTATGAAGAGGAGACCGTAAAACCTCAAGAGCCAGTATTCAAGCCAGTGGAGCCCGTAGAGCCTGTAGAGCCAGCCAAGAAAGAGCCCCTTGTTGAGAAGTTTGTGCAGAAGGAACAGTTGGAGGAGAAGCCCATTGAGAAGAAACCGGTGGAGGAAAGCTCCGTGTCTGAACCAGAAAAGGCCACTCCGTTAGCCCCTACAACCGACAAAAAGATCGACGGGGGTGTCATTCAAGCTGCCAGAGAGGTTGCTGGGGAGACAATAACGCCCTCAGAGACACCCTATGCTTTACGAGAATCCAAGGTCCCATCGTCTCGTATCAGCCGAATTTGGAACTATAGTGGTCTTGCAGCAGGTATGTTGGGAGGCGCCATGACCGAAGGCTTCAGCCGAGCCTTTGGCGGTGGTGGCGAGGGATCTGTCCTCCTGAGCGAGAAGAACATGGAGCGTTTGGTTGCAAAGCTCTCGCGAATGCGTGGTGCTGCTTTGAAGCTTGGCCAGATGATGAGTTTCCAGGACACCAAGATGCTCCCTGCGCCCATTCAACAGGTGCTCCAGCGTGTCCAGGATCGCGCTGATTACATGCCTGCCTGGCAGCGCGATCGCGTGTTAGTAGCAAACCTCGGTCCTGAGTGGAGAGAGCTCTTCAGCAATTTCGAGGAGAAGCCTATCGCTGCTGCTTCTATCGGACAGGTTCACAAGGCCATATTAAAGAACGGCAAACGAGTCGCTGTCAAGATCCAGTTCCCTGGTGTCGCTGACTCGATCAACTCGGATCTCGACAACCTGAGCATTCTCCTCACAGCTACCAAGCTACTCCCTAAGGGTTTGTACCTCAACAAAACCATCGACAATGCGCGATTGGAGCTTGGTTGGGAATGCGACTATGAGCGAGAGCTTCAGTGCGCTCAACGCTATAGGGAGCTTCTCGGATCAAGCGAGAAGGATGTTTTTATGGTGCCAAATGTTTATCCCGAGGCATCGGGTAAGCAAGTACTGACCATGGACTTCATGGACGGTATCGGCGTGACTCGCATCACCTCTTTTACCCAGGAGCAACGCGACTGGATCGGCACCCAGATTCTTCGACTCTGTCTCCGTGAGATCACAGAGTTTCGCTTTATGCAGACGGATCCAAACTGGACAAACTTTCTCTACAACGCGGATGTCAACAAGCTCGAGCTGCTCGACTTTGGCGCATCTCGTGAATATCCTGATGAGTTTGTCACACAATATGTGCAGCTTCTCGCTGCGGCCTCTCGATCCGACAAGGCCGCTGTCAAGGAGTTGTCAGAGAGCTTGGGTTACCTGACAGGTCATGAGAGTCGCACCATGGTTGAAGCACACACAAAGTCTGTTCTTACACTTGCGGAGCCTTTCCTTGCCAACGCACCCGATATTTACGACTTCAAAGACCAGACCATCACAGAGCGTGTCAAGGCTCTCATCCCTGTCATGCTCCACGAGCGACTCGCACCTCCACCAGAAGAGACATACAGTCTGCACCGAAAGCTCAGCGGTGCGTTCCTCCTGTGTGCCAAATTGGGTAGCAAGGTCCCTTGCAAGTCCATGTTTGAGGATGCGCTTGCCAAGGGGGGATATAGTAGGTGAGAGTGACGGAGAGTCAAGTGTAATTATGTACCATATAATCTCATGTGTAACATTATTTAGATGATAAAACGGTCGAGGGGTGTAGAATAGAAACGGGATTTCATGATAATAACAATGCCTGACACAGAGTATTCACTTCAATTATTGTATAAGTCAATTTGACAACTTAATACTCATCAGAAGGCTGTAGGCAGGGTCAAACTTGTCTGCATATCTAAATGTCTTGTTACAATCTTCAAGTCATTGTTATTCGGACGATCGGAGATGAATCGGTATCTTGAGTTCATGAGTCTAGATCTAGTGGGGCAATGGGAGTCATGATGAGATATTTGGATCGTAAGGCCTATCCAAGCAATAGAATATTTGGACTGAGGAGACTTTATGAAAGACCATAGATATCTCTCGGTGCACAAAACATAATTTATCAAACTGATTCGGGGAAAAAGGCTGACGGAAGCTTGTTGCACGTAAAACAAAGTAAGTTATGCCGCTATCGCAAGCTTCTACCCCGCGCGAACACATAAACTGAAGGCCCACCTCGATCTCTTCATACTAGTCATCAACCTTCACTTCCCTCGAAAGCAATTCCCTGGACATCTTCAGTTCAAGATGGCGGACCTGATCACTTTGGCGACATGTTCTCTCAATCAGTGGGTGTTGGATTGGGAGGGTAACTTGAAGAGAATTCGCAAGAGTATCATTCTCGCCAAGGAAGCTGGAGCTACGCTTAGAACGGGCCCTGAGCTCGAGATTACAGGCTATGGTTGGTATGTCAGATTCTGGTCCAGTTGTATACTTGATAGCAAGGCGTTACTGATAAATTGAATAGTCTCGACCATTTCCTTGAGGCTGATGTTTACGAGCATTCCTTGGAGTCACTCCTCGCAATCTTGACTGACACCGAACTCCATGGCATTCTCATCGACGTTGGTCTTCCTCTCATGCACAGAGGCTGTCGATACAACTGCCGTGCTATTATCTTGGATGGGAAACTGCTCTGCCTTCGCCCCAAAATCTATCTTGCCAACGATGGGTATGCTTTACTGTCCATACCTAGGCTAGATTGTCTGGCTGACATGGTTGTATAGAAACTTCAGGGAGAACCGATTCTTCACTCCTTGGAACAGGCCGAGATATGTTGAGAAGTTCAATCTTCCTCCTGCTCTTCAGAAGCACCAGGGCGTTCGACAAGTTCCCATCGGTGATGTTGTTCTGTCCCTCAATGATACAACTGTCGCCGCCGAGACATGCGAGGAGCTCTTTACCCCCCAGGCACCTCACATTAACATGTATGTTTTGATCGCCCAACGACTCAAATGATGCTAGTGGAAAAATACTGTGCTATCAAACCTCTGGCTTATGATTGACTTTTAACAGGGCTCTGAACGGCGTGGAAATCTTCACCAACTCCTCCGGCTCTCATCACACACTAAGAAAGCTTGATGAGCGTATTGCTCTAATTTCTGAAGCCACTCGCAAGAGTGGTGGTGTATACCTTTATGCAAATCAGTCTGGTATTTTCCTCCAACAATCGCCTCAACCTTGCTTGAACTGACGATTCTCTAGGCTCTGATGGAGACAGGCTTCTCTACGATGGTGCATCTCTCATCATGGTCAATGGCTCGATCGTGGCTCAAGGCTCCCAGTTCAGCTTGGACGATGTCGAAGTTGTTACCGCGACGGTTGATCTCGAGGAAGTCCGCGCTTATAGATTCGCACCATCTCGCAACTTTCAGGCTGTGCAAGCACCTGTGTATGAGAGAATCGAGGTTGATTTCAGCCTGGGCCATGAGGACCTTGACCTCCTTCGTACCCCTACAGCTCCTCAACCAGCCCGTTATCATGTCCCTGAGGAAGAAATTGTACGTTCATCCGTCAGACAGAACTCTGGTGGGGTAATTAGACTGACTTGATGACACATAGGCTCTTGGCCCAGCTTGCTGGCTTTGGGATTACCGTACGTCTGCCCTTGTCGCCCTGGCTGTCGGAGCTTGGCATCCAAAGAACTACAAATACTGACTATTGAGCAGTCCGTAGAAGCAGGGCATCTGGTTATTTGGTCCCCCTCTCAGGAGGTATCGACTCCTGTGCAACCGCTACCATTGTATTCAGCATGTGCAGACTCGTCGTTGAGGCTATCAAGGCTGGTAACGAGGAGGTCATCGAAGACGTCAAGAGAATTGCTGTGTTTTCGGAGAAGCTCCCCGAAACCCCCGAGGAGTTCTGCAACCAGATCTTCCACACGGTGTACATGGGTATGGAGAAGCAGAGCAGCAAGGAAACTCGACAGCGTGCCAAGGATCTTGCCGAGCGTATCGGTAGTTACCACACTGACATGAACATTGACGATACCTTCCACGCTACCAAGAACTTGCTCACTCAAGGCACGGGGTTCGAGCCTAAATTCAAGGTTCATGGTGGATCAGCGACTGAAAACTGTACGTTCTTTTACGTATGCTAAGCCCCTTTTACGTGATATACTAACTCTTGCAGTGGCCCTTCAGAATATCCAGGCACGCAGCCGCATGGTCATCGCCTATTACTACGCTCAGATGCTACCAACAGTTCGGCAGCGACCAGGAGGAGGCAGCCTGCTTGTTCTAGGATCCAGCAACGTTGACGAATGTCTCCGAGGATGTGAGTGTGCCTTGAAAAGCGTACCACGATGTTTTACTAACGATATCTCCAGACCTCACCAAGTACGAGTAAGTGCTTCTCCCGCGTACCACTGATGCGAATCATGCTAATAGACGACGCAGTTGTTCTTCCGCCGATCTCAACCCTATCGGTGCTATTAGCAAAAGGGATCTCAAGAGTTTTATTTCATGGGCGGCCAAGAACTTCGACATGCCGATTTTGGAAGAGTTCATTCATGCTACACGTACGATATCTATCACCCTGGTTGGGCCATGAGACGACTAACACCAAAATAGCCACGGCTGAGCTAGAGCCTATCACTGAAAATTATGTTCAGTCAGACGAGGGTAAGTGATCATCTCCTATCGAAAGTTCACTCATTAATGTCCGCAGTTGATATGGGCATGACCTATGACGAATTAGCTCGTTTTGGAGTAAGTGAACCAGCTACGGATGAAAGCCAATATTGCGATGAAACTGACGCCTTGTTGCAGCGACTACGTAAAGAGAGCAAGTTAGGGCCCTACGGCATGTTCCTACGACTTGTCGAAGAATGGGGCGGAGAGGGCAAACTGACTCCACGAGAAATCGCCACCAAGGTGAAGCGTTTCTACCACTTCCATTATATCAACCGGTAAGTAACACTCCTATGTAGAAATGGCTTTTTACTAACAAAATGTAGTCACAAACAAGCTGTGGCAACCCCAGCTGTTCATGTGTAAGCGGGCCTCTTGAATCTTGTGTTGTGTTGCAGATGTTGACATTTACCCAGGGAAAATTACTCGCCCGACGACCACAGATTTGACCTTCGTCCTTTGTTCTACCCACCTGCCTTCCAAGGCTGGTCCTTCCAGAAGATTGATAAGCGGGTTGACGCTCTGGAAAAGGTTCTGGAGAAGAAGAAGGCTGCAAGTGCCTCCACATAGAGTAAGCTCTTGTTTTGTGTTTGAGACAAATATGACTGAATAGTCATCCATCAGAATATAAAAGAACAAAGCTCAAGCATGTCCATTGCACTTTAGCAATCTGACTTTTGTTAGTACTTAGACTACAAGAACTAACGACAAGTCTCGTGGCTAAATTACCCGATCCTTGGGCTCAAGAGATACTGGAAAATTGTATACTTAGTATTATGAACTTGTATCATTCGAGTCTAAGCTCACGCTTCTTGGCCCCAGGCTTGATTGTGATACTATAGCTTGCAATGAGGTCCGTCATAGAAAGCGTATGAATGAGACATCGGTTTCGGGGAGTAAAGAGAATGAATGATGAAGATAGCAATTGCAAAAACATGAGCTTAGGATCTGTCAACCTAGGTTTTCGTTTGCTTGTCTGATGATTGTTTATCTTTAGTTTGCCCAGGTATGGCATTTGGTCTCTGAGGTATAGGCAGCTGGGGTTGGACGGTCAACAAGTCAACATGAAATCGTCTCAACGCCTAGCAAATGAAGGAGCAAGAACAAACAAAGGTAAAACATAAACCTGCAAGAAACAAATATCTCAGAGACGGGCATAAATAAGCTGCTAATTTCCATCTTGAAGTTAACTCTTCTGAACCACACCCCCTATTCACTATAGCAGCTAAGGATCACTTAGTACTTTGATCTTTGATTTAGGGTGTCGAAATAAACTTAGTAAAGAGTCCACTAAACTTAGGCTAAATTTACCTAAGTATTTTTATCACTTAGGGTTAAGGTCCTGACTTTTCTTTCAGATATCTCGATCTCTAGATCACAAGTGGAATAATATATTACAAGCGAAAACATTACATCGCTACATCGTCAGAGCAGGCACTCAAGCAATTACTCAGGTCTCGGTGTACTTTTCAAGGGCGTGAGTCTCTCTTGGAACTCCATTGGACCACACTAATACAAGAGTAGTCTCCAAAACTTAGGTGAGCCTTACACTAGTGCTTCAGTGCCTAAGTCTATAAAGCAGACTTCCCCTCTCAGTTATTGGGGAGTCTCTCGAGCACGCGCAGCTTGGAAGATATGGATTTCCTCAAGATAGCATAAGAATGCATGTCTGAACCAGTTCCTATATATACCATATAGCTCTACTACACATCAAATGGTCGTGTTCTGAGTAATCAAAGTCCTTTTCTAAGGTAAATCCATGAACCCTTAACCGATATTCGACATCTGACATGTACTACTTCCAGGTTTCAGTGCCATGGATGGCCATTCTCGACCGGCCTGATGTAACAGCGCACTTCTTTTTAGTGGCCAGACTCGAGGTACCTGGGCAGCCTCTTCTGCCTGGTTCACAAAAAAGGGGGTGAACGGCCGGCTATATAATAAACCCACAGTCTCCTGGGTCGGGAAGAGCTATAAAATACGTAATTAAGCCCCATGTTCCTCCGTTTGTTGCAGATTAGGTATGTCTGGGAAGTCGGCCTGACGGGAGACGGCAACCACGAAGCCAGTCCTTTAGAGAAAGTGTTATCAGACATTGACTGATACATGACGGTACAATAACTGCCCTGTCTGTACTGTAGACTTCAGTCAGGGGCTAGAGCCCTTACTCACTGTCACGGTGATACAACTCAAAAAGCATCAAGTCTGACAGAAGATTGTAAGTCTCAGAAATTCTTTATCGGCCTTCTTTTTATGTCTATGGGCAGCATCTACATATTCCGAGAACCAGGACAATAGTTGCCGAAGCAAAGGTTTGTCTCAAGGACACTGAAAGGACAATAGTTGATATCTCAGAAACTCAGGGGTAATGAAGAGAGCACCACTGGAGGAAAGGAATAGCTTCGTGGGACACAACGATTACAGTAGCAATCCTATCGTCTCCGGTATATCAAGATCACATCTGTTGTCAACATAAGTTGTACTGTGATTTAGATAAGAAATTGGTCAGAATTGAGGTACCGCAGTAGATTCTACGAGATATTCATACTAAACGCATTTGCTTGGTCTTCACTTTTGTCCATCCAAAGAAAAGGATAAGCAGAGCCGGTTCTCGGGAGGGAAAATTTCTGTGGTCAGTTATATTTCTCCCTAGGTGCTCTAGCACTGCGGTTTGTTCCTTATGTGGTAGCTTTATGTATCTGAGTTAGCTAATGTTATGATGAGAAGTGCTGACAGTGAATCAGACTGACACTGTGCCAAGCAGCCTCCTTCATCGCAAGTATAAATACCCCCCTTTTCTCCCACTGACTTTCCTTCTTTCTCTCATCTTTTTATTCTCTTCTTCACTTCACTTCACTTTACTTCACTTCACTCGAAATCGTCGAGGTAAGCATCGGCCACGTCGTCAACATATACGATCACCAACTAACAATTACCCGGTCATGTCTTTAGTTCATCTCACAACAAATCCATCATTCGATATCACCATGTCGAACTCAGAGATTGACCTTGATCTTACCGAGATCCATTTTGACTTCTTCTGCAAGGTCGGGGGCACGCCTCAAATGCTACATGCATTGATTGCTGCCCAGGAGGATGATGTTAGACGCTGGTCTTCTTGTCCTTCGTTTGGACCTTTCATCCACAAGCTCTTCGTTCAGTCTCCGGATGTCTCTCGTCTTGGACCCATTCATCCCACTGGTAGCATAGGCTTCTTAGGACTTCGGCGCTTCAGCAACTTCCTCGCCTATGCTGTTACAACTCCCATTGATGCTACAGCCACTCTCACCCTCCACAGCCCATCAGATGGTGAGCCTTTTCCTTTCCCCATCAGAGATATTCTAGCCAGATTTCATGAATACGGGCAGTATGAACTCCACAAGGTTCGGATGGCAATCCGGTTCGACAACAAAACAATCAAATATGTGGATGTACAGGCATTTCCATCTGAGAATTTCTTCGAGGCCTGCAACAAGGACCAGCTTCAAAAAGTCAACATCATGAATAACTTGCATTCGAGATGCAATGAGTTGTCTAACGGTCGCGATTTAGTGGAGATGGGGTTTAACACTCAAACTGCCTTCGAGGAGCATCTTGAAGTCATTAGGAACCGAATGAGGGACAATGGCTACAACATCAAAATTCACGTCCCAGAGGAGGTCTTTGCGAGCGAGGTTAAAAGATTGGAGAGATTTGTCAGCCAGTCTGGCTATGGTTCTTTCGACTTGGGTGCTTATATGGACACGAACTACTTTCTGCCCTTGATCGGCGGTGCAGTTGTTGGCACAATCAAGAATGGAGAATTTGCCATATTTGAATTCGATGGTACAGGGGATGTTCAGTTGCGCAGAAATCACAAAATCGACTAAAATGAAGTGGGCTCTTCCGGTCTCAGCTCTACGTGGTAACCAACCTGCAAACTGTCTGTTGGACGGGACTTTCTGGGATCTTAGAGCTGATGATGAATGTCAGTTCTATCTATGAATACTGACGCATATGCTGATATCGAAGACGTGCTCAATGTGGGCGATGAAGATAGCAGAGTTGTAAAAGGGGCGACCGGTTTGGTGGGCAGTGGCGGCGGAAGTTCATTTACGCAAACCAGAAGATAGTTTATCATCAGTAGCTCTTATTTGAAGCTAATTGAGAGAACTAAGCTCATACACCATTCTGAGGCTTTCCCTTACATATATCTAAGTGTGGTTAACTGCTTGAAAGTGTTTGCTCTACCTCCAACTTGACTTAGAATCCAAGCTCAAAGAAGACTATGACGCTTTGGAAAAGGGGAGTAATTTTCTCATCTTTCCACTTCTCGCCACCTTCTTGAGCTCTTTTTCATTCTTCCTCTTTAGCTTCCCAACGACCTCATCGTGATCTTTCTTTATGGCTTCTACCTCAGCCTCGTGCTGTTGCTTCAACTAGACAAGACGTTAGTCTACCTGACGAGCTCAGAAAGACAGCGAGTGGTACCTGGCCTGCAATAAGCTTTGCACTTCCAGATTCTATCGCCTGTTGACGAGATTGTTGGATGGTGAAAAGTATATGTTCATGTGAGAACTTTGTTTCGTTCTGCTGGAAGCCTTTCATCATTGTCTGCTGGATCACCTTGGAGTAGATGAGCGACCAGTGTCCGATCTCGAGTGCACCTTGGCGCATGAGTTGAATTTCGTTTAGGAAATCCTATAAACATCAGTTCTGTATGCAGTCAAATGGGTTATGGGATAGTTTACCAGAGTATCTCCAAAGGATAGCCCATCTGGAATTCCCGTGGCTATATCCTTGGACTCAGAACAACTCTCGAGAAATGATTGCATTTTGGCGAGCATCTCGTTGTGATGAATAGCAGCATTACGGAGACAATCTATAATCCCATGAAGCAGCAATTGAACAGGCTGCAATACTTCAATGCATTGTTTCTGTACCGGTGAGTCAGTATTGTGTAACTGAGATGGGCACAAGGGCATTTACCAGTTCATTAGCTTGTGTCGAAAGCTTCTGAATGTCGACCTCAGCCTCCTCCTTACGTCTTCTGTACTCCTGGCCCCTCTCAAGCTGATCTTGCATGTTGCTCTGCGCAGATTGGAGATCGTTGTTCGCCCAGAGGTTGAGTATCCAGGTAGCAGCCATCTGACCTCCAGCCACGAGCATCTTCCCACCGATATTTGCAGAACCAGCAGACTGGATGATAGTTCCAATTTGGTTCGCTAATTTGTTCTTTTGCCTAGAAAGATCCTCTCGCCGGGCTCGAGCAGCATCTTCATTTTCTTGAGCTCTATTTTGGTTGAAGATCTGATCGTCTATCTCGGTCTTCAAAGTGCCGATCTCTTTGTTGGTTGCGTTCTCTTGCTGATTCATGATGTCTATCATTATTAATTAGTCTGTAGACCTGTAGGAGTCTAGTAGCAACTAACCCTTGGTCTTGCTGATACGACGACTAAACTCGTCGACTGAAGCACGCCAGGCTTGAAGACTTTTGTCAAGTTCATCGCATTGTGTTCTGCATACTTCCGTTGCGTTTGTGAGCTTCCTGAGATGCCTATCGAAGGATGCTTTCTCGCCGGGAACACCAAATGTACTTTGAAGTGCGTTCAACTGGAAACCAGCAATTTAGTACTAATACACCACAAGCTGGTTCGTTGCACTTGCCGTTCCCGTGTCCTGTATCATGGACTTGGTCTTCATGTAGATACTGTAGAAAGCTCCATGTGTTTCCACGAGTTTGTCAAGTCCCATATGGCAATGCTCGGCCAGGGCGGTAGATAGATTGTCACTCCTGGTAATGGTGTCAGTATCCGAGACAAAAGTGCTTATTGGCATGAACGAAGTCTCTTACCCTGGGAATCCATCTGCATCTACCAGAAAGACAGACGTGGCATTGCTTGTCGTTGAAATATAGAGACACAACTGAAGCTTCTGAGTGAGCAATTCGGCTCTGATCAAAGGCTCTAACAGATTATCCCGAGGTCCTGGAGACATCTCGGCCGGGAACCGAACTAAGCTGCCCATGATGGAGCTGGCGATACTGGATTTTCCCAAAGAACTGGTTACAGCAGATAAAAAGTCTAAAGGCGATTAGTTGACCACTGATAGAATGACAAAGGAAAAGAAACATCATATCTCAGAAGCACCGCGCCAACTGATCTTACTTGTAAGAGGGGTTACCCATGTCCAGGAAGTACCTCAATGTATATGTGCCAACGTTTCATCTGCACCTTTCTTCACTAGGGAATTCCATATGCAAACTAAGGGCAGTTTCAACCCTCGCTGAGCCTATCCTCGCTAGGGGAGGAAAGAAAACTTGAGACCTTTATCCTAACTGATGAAAAGACTTAGGCAATTTAGTCTAAGTTTAGGATATCTTTTATAGAGTTTATTTTATCACCCTAAACTTAGGTCTTGTGTTTTCTTGCTCCCTGAGGCCCCCCTCACGATAAAAGCCAAAGAAAGCCTCGTTCAGAGACAGGGGTTAACATATGCATGTTTAGGCGCCCGCATTTTAGTTTTCAGCTCTTCCCAAAGGAGTGCGTGATAGGTTATACAACGGCTGCATGCATGCAGTAGTGTCTTGGTTACTGTAGGAGAGAGCCTACCGAGTCTTAAAAGTGTATGGGTTTATCAGGCTCGGCATCGCAGTCCAAGGATAGCCGAGTAGTTTCAACTCCTGCCCTCAATCCTGGCATTGTATCCGATTACAAAAATTGGCCTCAATATCCAAAATGTCAACTTCGGGAGGAATCTCGCTGGACCATTTCCATGCTCGCTTGACTGTGCTGCAAAAGCAGCATCAATCCCTCAAAGCAGCCGACTGGGAAATGCGAGCAACACAATCCGAGCGATGCCGTTCTTCACTTGAGAAAGCCGTCAAGAGTCTATTCCAAGTCATAACTCTCGTTCGAAAACACGACAAACGTCTTGTCGCATGGCACGACCGCAGTCCACATCTCAAATCGGCTCTTCGTCTAATCGGCATTGATCGACGAACAGAACATACCGTGAATAAGACTACGGCGAAACTCAAGAATGGCGTGCATAAGGTCGAGACGCAGTTCGAGTACGCCGGGCAGGTCATAGGAGAGAGTATCGATGATACCACACGCTTCCAGAAGGACTTTTCGCAAATTAGTCACTCTGGAGTTGAGGAGAATCTTCAAGCTATGAGAGCTGCTGAAGCTGAGCTGAAACAGGAGCTGGAGGACCTCAAATATCAGATCCAGAATCAGGATGTGGAGTGTTCTGGGGCAATGGCAGAGCTGACGCTGCAGATCCAACGGCTTGAGAAGCTTACTGCAGATCATGACTCTGCAAGAGCCTGGAAAAACACATGGGGAGCGGTGAGATCGCCACCCGTGCAAGCACCACTCGATCTTTTGCTGACTTCTCGATCTTCAGGTTACGGTACTTGCGGCGGCGGGAGCTTTTGCAATGCCGGTTGTTGGTATTTCTGTAGGAATAGTAGCCGGTGTCAAAACTCTGTAAGTCATCCAAACTACTCTCTATGGCCCTCATTGACGAACTGCTACCTTTCCTAGTATGAATTCCGAGCAACAAGAAGCCCTCAGAGTTCAGAAAGAACAACACGAGCTTCTCGTCCAAAGCCACGACTCAGAATTGAAGTCGCTTCAACTCCAAATGGCACAATCAGGTCATCACCACGACAGTTGCGCCCATTACATGGATCAAATCAAGCAGATCCAAACCGCAAACTTGACTATTCGTCAAGAATCAAGCAGAGCGTTCAAGACTTTGTGTGAAGTGCAGATGGCACTAGAGAAGGCGAGGCTCAACATCTTTGAGATATCACAGGAACTGCAGGAATGTCAATACGAGAAGACAAGGCGTGGGATGGCGGCAAGGTTGGATGGGATCTTGAAGAATATTCTGCAGTTTCCTGCAAAGGCGAAGTTGAAGGCTATTGACCAGAAGCTCATTGAGCAGGCTACGGGTGGGATACGTGCTATTTCTGATGCGACGGCTGAGGTTATGGCCATTGTGGGTGAGTGAGACAATGAATGGCCTGATTCTATGCTCTTATCAATTGCACTTCTCGTGAGGGGTCTGAGTGAAACTGAAGGCTGTCTTAACATTTGTGTTTGTGTTCAAGTATGTCTGCCTGATCGGCACAAATGATACCCTATTGGAAAAGTAGCATCTTGTACCTCGCGTGGCTGCTTGTACAATACCCATGTCTCTATCTGATAAAACTCGGCCTAGATTGGTCCATCGGTCTCACGAGGTCTTGGAAGCCCCAGCCGGCTTTTCAGCCAAGCCGTTGGTTGTCTTTGAAATGCCACTACATATGCATGTCGCTAGCATCTTCGAGGCAATAACTGCATGCTGGCTCTCATAAAGGGCCAATAACCAAAAATAGGAACTTGGGACAAGAGCATGCAAGACTTAAATTGGACTCTAATTTGGTACTGAACTGTCCATCAGTCTCAAAATTGCATTACCAACTCAGAATGGCATCGTATAGTAGTCGGACGATCCATTCTCTTACAGGCGGGACCAACGCAACGGATCAAGCATCTGCAGAGTAAGCAGCACTCAACAATGCTATCAAACCAACACTAACAAATTGTTCTCAGTATCATAGCTCTTCATGGTCTAGGAGGCGATTGGAATCGTACCTGGAGCTCCTTCGGATACTGCTGGCTCAAGCACGCCCTCGTACCCAAGTTCCCATCATGCAGAATCCTCTCTCTCAACTATCCAGATATGCTCTCTATTTTATCAGCACACCCTCCCGACATAAATGGCCTCATTCACGATATCATCAGAGACCGCCGTCAAGAGAACCGCTCAAAGTCACCCATTATCTTCCTCGGTCATAGCTTTGGTGGCACGGTTCTTAAGCAGATGTATGTTGCTACACACCCTTCCAACACAGATGATCCAGAGTACAAAGCGCTCCATAGCCAGATTCGTGGCTACGTGTTCTTTGGGGCAATCCATAAAGACAGAGACATGAGTCGGGCTAAGCTTGAAGTCCCTGAATTTTGGAGAGCTTTGAGTCGCGGAGCTGCTGGTACACTGGGCGGCCATTCCCATGAGTTGGAAAAGGCAATGTATACCACCTTTCGTGTGAATCATGCCTTTCGTCGTCTTGGTGGAGAGAACCTCCTCATCAACTGCTTTTATGAGACCAAGGGACCCGGCGGGCTGAGTGTCAGTAATCTTGTCACTCATATTCCAGATCTGAAGCTAATATGAGCCCAGAGACGTGTTCTCATTACTCAGGAAGAATCAACTCTGGTCTCCCGTCCCGTTCCTACCATGCCCTTGGATCTCGACCACCAGTCTCTCGTCTGCTTCAAAAGTCCACGAGATGAAAACCTCGCTCGTGTACTCGACGCTCTTGATTCGTTCATGATTCGAGCAATGGACGTCGAAACTCGACTGCATAGGCCTATGGCGCCTGAATCTCGGGGTCTGTGCCTCTTGTCACTTGATGGAGGCGGTGTCAAGGGTTTGTTTAGCATCATCGTCATTGGCCGGCTGATGCAGGAGACACGTCGCCTTGAAGGCCCTGGTGCAGAACACAAAAAGCCCTGCGACTATTTCGACCTCATTGGCGGCACAAGTACAGGAGGCTTACTAGCAATCATGCTCGGTCGGCTTCAGATGGACACTCAGCTCTGTATTCAAGCTTACAAGTCACTGTCCAAGGAAGTGTTCTCTAGAAAATTCAAGGTCCCCTTCCTGGAAAGCTTCCGCAAAGCAAGCAATGTCGCTCTAAGCTGGTCATGGTTTGATGGCGATAAACTCAAAGAAGCCGTTTGTCGTACCGTCAAAGAAAACCTTCTTCCCAGTGACTCGGCTATGCTGAGGCAAAGCGGCTGCACAGTGGAGGACCTGACTCTCATCACCGACATGAAGTCTGCTACGTACTCTTTCGTCTGCGCCGTGCCCAAGTACGAGGAAAAGGTGAAGAGAATACGATCATATGAACCCCTCGACCAACAAACAAATGCTCCCGCTGAAAGGTTCAAAATCTGGGAAGCTGCACGAGCAACCTCAGCAGCACCAATGTACTTCCCACACATAGAAGCCGGCGGCGTTTCTTACTTCGATGGTGGACTCGAGAGTAATAACCCCGTCATTGAAGTAATCGAAGAAGCGAAACAGGAGTTCCCGGATGACAAGATTTCCACCGTGATTAGTGTTGGTACTGGTGCATACCAAGCCTCAGACGCAAGCGCAGGCCTTGCAGGTTTCATGAACTACATGATCAACATGGCCACGAGCACAGAGAAGCATCACAGAGCTGTTCTTGAGGACCCGAGATTCGCAGATATCAGGAAGGAAGGATACTTTCGACTCAACGGGACGCTTGAACTCGGAGCCATTGACCTCGCCGCTGTGGAACGAATGGATGAGATTGAATGTCTGGCCGAGGCCTATCTGAGTTCAAACGAGGGTCAACAACAAATCGGCATGTGTGCTGAGCGTCTAGTTGAGAGGGCAAGGCACCCCTGAAGCTTGAACAAGGTCAGGATCTAATCTGCATTTGGCGGGCAAGACAATACATACGACCATACCTACCAGAAAATACGGGATCCCGTCCGCTCTCCCATAGTCAAGCTGGTAAGGGGCGGATTAGTAGTTGGGTCGGTGACGACCAGCGAATCCCCGCTGTTGTATGTCTTTTGCCTATCGATGAAGCTATCGTGAGACTACTTTTTTACTGTGGGTATGGTGGGGGCGGGTTGAGCAGTCGGCAGTGCACGGGGCAGGTACAGCTCAGATACTCATGGGGGAATGCTTGATTCCTTTACCATTGAAAGCACATTAACAAATTCACTGTGGCATGATCTTGTGACACAATGAATATGAGGTACTTCAATTTCTATTGTGGAAAAGACACTATTGCAACATGGATATCATAGGACCCTCTCTGAACAAAGAGACACTCGCTGACAAGGGACAACACAAGTAATACAAGCCGAGGCATCGACTAACATCCTCCTCCTCAACATCCTGGTGCTGGTGGTGCTGCTACAGCTCCTGCGTGCGATGAACGAGCACGATCTCTCGCCTCCTTCTGCCAGATGGACATGCAGCTCATGACAGCCATCAGCGCCCACAACTGACCCAACTCGCCTGTAGCACCGCTTCCTAGGAACTGTAACTCTCCAACAGCTAAAAAGCTCGAGAAACTCCTTGCGTTCGCCCAAACAGCAACAACCTCCTTGCCGTCGCTGGAGTAGCCGTAGCCCTGCCCCTTAGTGCTGCCAAGACGGACGAGCTTGAGTCCGCCCCTGCATGATTGACCAACGCTCTCGACTTCAGGGCCCCGAGAGTGTCGCCATTCGAAACCCTCTATGCGCTGGTCTGGGCCATGGCCGACTTGGATGTCAAACCAGAAACATGTCCTCAGTTCTGAGTCCCAATAGAGGAACTGGTCTTGAGGAGCAATGCCGGAAATTGGAGGCAAGCGGATCAAATATTCTTTGTCAAAATATGACCCTCTACCAGAAACAGCCAGTTTTGAAGAGTCGAGGGATGGTCCGCTATAGAGGACGATATCGCCGCGTATGCCCTTTTCGAAGTCGAGTGTGTACATAGGCTCATCGTTGGGGCCATCGAGAAAGAGTTCGAAGTCATAACGGAAGAATTTACTCCAGCCTGATTCATAACTGACGCGGATGATGGGCGGAATTCCCTTTTCAATTCCGGCAGCTGAGAGTTCATGAAATTGAAGTGTTGAGTTTGAGTGACCCATTTTGGGGTGTGTAGAGTAATAAGTTAGTACCTAGGTGGATATAGAAATGATGAAAAAAAGATGTGTTTGCGTAGGATGTTTATGATCGAGTGTTTGTTTTGACTGTCTTGTTCTCTGAAGTTGATATCATTTTTGTACCTTGGTAGCTACTTCTTGTCGGTATATATCCAACAGGTAGCTGTGATCGAAGCTTCTCCATGAAGTGAGAGCCGCATCGCTATTGCTTATGGGAAAGATCTGCAGATCTTCACGCCGTTGAGGGAGGCACTGCCGTAGTCTTACAGAGTACAGAGATTATTTATGACGCTTTTAGGCGCCCTTGTAAGGCTGGGCTTATATCCGGGCTCTACCATCTCCAGGATGGGTTGTGAAGATGTCGCAGATAGACGAGCAATTCAAGCTTCGAGGTGCAGAAAGAGGAACGTTGTGGCCAGTAAATCCGTAACTATTGGCTTATCCTTTTGACGCAAGTTTGATCATTCTTCCAAGTGCATAGTCTCGACAGGCAATGCCAACGCTGGACCTCTGTTAACTTAGAGCATGTGTGCCATTTCAGAGAGTTGAGGTTCTCGGTAGCGGCGCATTCCCACATATACAAATCCCATTTGCTACTAGGTATCATATCAGCGGCAAATGATCAACTCGGACAAAGAGAATATGCTTATTCATTTTAAGGAAGAGTCTTGTGCTTGAAACTCTGTACGCAATTGCATACGCCTGCTCATGATGTTAATT